AAAAAGTGATAAAAGTACCAGTGCAGAGCAGATATACACAAGCAGAATAGAAATAGAAGGCGCAGACCAGATCTAGGTATATACACAGGAGTTTGCCATTTGCTAGAGGTAGGTCCACCAAACATTACAAAAAGCATACACTGTTTAATTAAAGATGTTAGAGGAAAATGGCTCACTATATTGAGATAAAGTTCCATTCTTCCTCACATCATATGTATATGATTGTGTGTGTATCTGTGTATTCCTGAAGGATAGGTTTAATATCATATACATCCTTGTAAACTTAGGGCAGGAAAAATTTTCTTACAAAAAGATCCAAAATGCACAAAACATAAAATTAAAAATTGGTATATTTGACTACATCAAAATTAAGGATTTTGGTTAAAGGACTTCATAGTCAAAATTAACAACTGGTAGACTGGGAGTAGCTATTTGCAATGTTAAAAAAAAAGGATAAAATTTCTTCCAAATCAAAACTGAATACATAGCAAGCCCAATTTTAAAAACAGCAATGCATGTAAAACAATTCACAGGATAGAAAACTCCTAGCTATCATATAGATGAAAAAAAGTTGCTTACCCATACTACCAAGCAGAAAATACAAACTGGAAAAGGTAACAGTTATGCAACCATACACACAAGAAGGACAAAGACTAGTAACTTGGATAATGACAAATTGGGGGGTGGGCAAAGAAAAGGGAAAGGGATGGAAGAGAAGGGAACTTTGGGCCCCACTGCTGCCCCCCTTGCACTACCCCTCCCCTCCCCGCACTATACCCCGCCCCGCTCTGCCCCACCCCACTGCACGCTCCTCCCTACCCTCCACATGAAAACCCTGCGGGCTGTGCGTGCTCCCTCCACCCACGCACAATACTCGGGGCGTTTCCAGCCCAGGAACCCGAGACCCTCCACCTCCGCAACGTGTGGTAGCAGCTGCGCCCTTTGGGTGCCAATGAGAAACTACCCTAACTGAGAGTTTGCCGCGTTAGAAGTCGCTCTGGGCTCTTCGGAAACATGATTGGACGCGCCCGCTTTAGGGCTCGAGGCATCGACCGCAGCCCCAGGGTCACGGAGGTGGGAAGTCCCCAGGCCAGCCCCAAGGTGCGTGCGATGCTTAGCTGGCATTGTCTTGCTCTCTTATATGTCTCCTTCATGGAATCGGCCTTCCTCTGTATCCGTCTTTTCCTCCCTCCTAGGAAGCAGTGGGTTATCTTCTCTCTCTGGTTTGAATCTTCCCAGGGCTTCCCATATTTTTTCCTTTGGGATTTTATCTGAGTGAGGCATTAATGTAGATATTTTGGTCAGGGAAGAGAACTAAAAATTAGAGGCAAATATGCTGTCCTTTTCTACTTCCTGAATTTTAATTATTTGACTTTCATTTAAGTCTCTTGGTAAAAATTGCTGTGCCTTCAGTAGTAGCATTATTTCACATATAATCTAATATGATTCCTTTTGTTAATTCATATATAAAATTAAGTAATCTCAGGTAGAGATGTGGTTTTGATTCAACCAGTGTTTCTTGATCAGCTGCTGTGAGTACTGCTCCTTGCTAGATAGACTTAAGCAACTGGAACCAATTGATCAGCAGATCAGCAATCAGCGACAGTTGAGTGATATTACCACACACTCTTAGTATTTGGAGCAATCTCTTAGATTGTCTTCAAGTGAGTAGTTTGGTCATTATGCTTTTACTGTCATGAAAAGGTCCTCTCTTCACACATTTTTTAGCAGGCCAAGATACATTTCTTCTTGAACAAAGAAAGTAGTTATGATGAAAAAAGAAAATATTTTTTTTAAATAGAAAATTTTAGTAGTTGGGAGCAGAGGTGGAGAGGTGGAATTGGGTGTGAAGGGATGGGTGGTGATGAAGGCACATGGTACCATGTATAGGTGATATATTATGGAGCTGTATACCTGAAACCCATATCACATATCAACCAATATCACCCCAATCAAATTCACTGAAAAAGAAAAAAGAGTATTAATAGTTCCCTTCACCTATTTTATGAACTAATTTGGAAAACTTTATTCAGGACAGTCGTCATGTGACTGGTGACCTGTATGCTCTGGGCTCAGTTTATTTGCTTTGTACGGGCATGTTCACACTGGAGGCCATGTATGTGGGCCATGGAAGCATGAGGTCCAGCCCATCTGGACCACCTCCCTGGTGAGTGCCCTGACTCCAGGGTCTCATCTCAGCCTCTTCATACCTCCAGGGCTTAACGACTATTGCTGAGTCACAACACAAAAATTAAAGTTTGATGAATGGGGATTACTATAGCTCATCCATATTCTTTTTTTCCAGAATGGGCAATTTCTTATCAGCTCTCAAGCATTACCTGTTAACATTGTTAGCTCATGTCAGTCTAATGACTTAGGACATGATGTGGTTTTTATTTTGTAATAACCTTTTGATTTATGTATTAATGTCTGAAATCAGACCAATAATTTTTTTTTGCCTATTTTAGCTTATATCTGCTGATCTCAGTGACAATGAAGCATTGTCCAGCAATAGCTTCATGGGAACAAGCAGGACTTCACAGCCTTGTAAGTGCAGTACTCTGTGCCATTCAGTTCTGTTCCTTCAGAATGAACCAGGAGTGATTCCACTGTGCCTTCCAAGAGCCAGGTCCCTTCTTGAGCATCACATTATTCTTACCTTTTCTTGAAGGATCCCCTGTGTTTGTTGTGTCTCTTTGGGAATCCCAAACATAGAGTCTGCTGCTGAATTTGCTGACAGTGGTTGGCATTTGGGAATCTACAGATATTAGGAAGCTAGTTTTGAGATTCTTTCTGTCCACTGAATAATTTTGAAAAAATATTTAAAAATTCTTTGACATGTAAATGTCAGTGCCATCAGCTTGCAGGCATAGTAGAAATCTGGAGTGCTGCCTGCCACTGCCTCCTCTTCCTTCCCCACCCATGGTAGATATCACCACTTCATGGTAGCTCTCTTCCCTGTAAATTCAGATTTACCGCCAGGATACTTGTCAACATGCTGCTCCAAGTTGTCCCTGTCACACTGTGTGAGTTGGCATGCTCAAAGCACTAGTTTGCTAGAGTTCCATGACAAAGTACCACAAACTGGGTGGGTACAACAATAGAAATAATACTGTCTCATGATTCTGGAGGCCAGAAGTCCAAGATCACCGTTTCTGCAGGGTTCATTTCTTCTGAGTCCTCCCTCCTTTTAGATGGCCTAGATGGCTGGCTGCCTTCTTCCTGTGTTTTCACATCATATCTCTGTACTTGTCTGTGTCCTAATCTTTTCTTATAAAGACACTAGTCATGCTGGATTAGGGCCCATCCTAATGATACAATTTTAACTTAACTATGTCTTTAAAGACCCTGTCTCCAAATACAGTTGCATTCTGAGATATTAGGGGTTAGGACTCCAGCAGAGGAATTTGGGGGATCGACAGTTCAGCCCAGAACCACTGCTAAAATCTATTAACCATCTCCTTGCTCTGACCATGAAGTTAAGTGATTAATTGTTAATAACCATGTAATCTCTAAGTATTTAGGTTCTTCTAGACTCTTAGTTTCACCAGTCCTTCCACCCATCCTATGCCTGGTTCTCTTTTGCTCTGCAGGGTTTTTCCAACCCTGCTCCAGTACTCCTGTGAGCTGTACCCCCAGAAGACCTGCTCTCAGACAGCGCAACTGCCACCATTCAAACCTTATCCCAGCTTCTCCTTGGGACTTTATTTCCATGTCCGTTGTACATTCTTGTCACTAGCAAGTGATGGAAACCTTTCATCTATTGAGGGTAGATTGAATTTGTATTTAGTTTTTAAAACTGTGGTAAAATATATATAACACAAAATTTACTATTTTAACCACTTTTTGTTATACAGGCCAGTGGCAACCATCGCCACCATCCATCTCTAGGACTTTTTTCATCTTTTGAAACTGAAACTCTGTACTCACTAAACAATAACTCCCCATTCCCCTTCCCTTCTCTCTGGCAACTAATATTTTATGGAAGATTGAATTTTTAAAAACCATTCAACATCTTTTGAAACCATGAATAGTGAATGATATGGATAATCTAGTGAGGATAGCTTTTTAAAAATTAAGTAAATTTTGTGGTTTCCAGGAGACACAGATTTCACTGAGAAGGGCATGGACAGCAGTTTTGAGCAAAAGCAATGGTGCCATTTGGAGTAGTTGCATTCAGCGATTCTGTCAGAGTTCTAGTGATTCATCATACTATGAGTCATATCACTCTATCATAATATTCTGTATTTTGTATTTTCATGTTGTCTTCAGAGAGCCAAAGTTATATCTAAAAATCAACATCTCTCAGACTCATAGATAGAGAGCAGGCTGACAGCTAACGTGGGGAGAGGGTAGCAGGTGGAGGGTTTGAGCAAAATGGAAAAAGGACTCATGACACGAACAATAGTATGGTGATAATGGGAAAAATACAAATAAAAATTAAAATCAACATCTCTTTGTACTCATTTTAACAGAAAATAGTCATTGCATTGTAATTTCATGTTTTCTAGAACCTACCTGTGAGAGAGATGCCCCAAGGTGAACTGTTGACTTTCATTCTCAAAGGAATGATCTAGCATAAAAACTGATGGCAGTGTACTGGGCGTTTCCCTGCTTGTGATTGGTCTGGGCACCCTCCGTCTTCTGGGTGTTACACAGAAGCTGGAGAAGGGAGAGCTACTCTCCCTGAGTGGCTGCAGAGTGGGACATAAGGAGATAGAGCTTCCCCTGAGCCAAGAGGAGAATCAGACAAGACCAAAATATTATGAGGAAGGACTAACTCAGGGTCCATTATTTCTAACAAAACATGCCATGTATTCACAATTTTTAATTTTTACTCTGAAAACTTTTGTATGGTCATGGTTGTTTTTGGCAATGTGGGCCAGTTTTATTAACACCACAAAATCTGAGTTTTGGTTGTAGATACATTTTGGATATAGTAGTTGTAAATATCACTAGAATAAAATATGAGCTATTACGGTATTTTTTTAATATTTTAGATAGAAGTGGCATTTCTTCTGGTAATGCTGAATATACCTTAACAGAAAAAGGTGGGAAAATCAGACAGAATTTCATGGATTCAAGTGCCTGTACCAGAGAAAAATTGGCCCATGTGAGAGATTGCAAAGCAGGTAATTAGTCTTTATATTACTTATTTTTTAATGTCACCAAATCTTGCTTAAGAAATTTTTAATTTCTAGATGTAAAATAAATGAATTCACTTAAAAGATATTTATTGACTATCTGTTCTATTCAAGGCATGATCTAGATACTAGTTGTTTTCAACTTCACTCCCTTTTATTAATAGAAATAGTAATATTTCTCCCCAAACAACATCTCACTTGTTGAAAATATTTTTTCCTTACATTTGGAATGGGACTTAAAAAAGATGTTTTGACTCTTTCCCAACCCTTTTTCCATAAGGGGATAATAATGTTTCTTTACGTTAGCTGACAAAGAAAGATATTGCCTATTTTGGAATTCTTAACCCAGATTCCAGGCTCAGCCCTGAAATTACACCCAGAATTGTGGGCATATGCCCTCAATTTTCAGGGAAGTAGGTCTCTTGTTTTTACTGGATTCTCCAAAGGCTTTGTGACTCCCTTCCAGAAGTTAAGACTCCCTAATGCAGATCAGTCTTTTTAAACTTTTAAAACCATGCAGCAAAACAAGAAATAGCTGCATGAGTATTATCCAGTTGTACACACACACAATCGAGACAAGTTTTCATGTAAGAGTACTTGCCCTACTACGTGCAAGGGACTCTGATACACTTCCGTTGTGATCTAGTCCTCTCATGATACATAGTAGTTTCCTGATGTACTCTCATAACTGCAGCATTAATGGGTCACGATTAGTTTGTAAATAGTGGTGTAGATGATCTCGAAGGATCTTGCCACCTCTGACATTCTAGGTGACTTCTCTTTGTCCATTAATAGGAGCAGCTGAAATATGTTGTCATTGCCTCAGGATCTAGGAGAACAAAAGAAACTTTTGTTTAATTAAAATAGCACAATAATTCCTTGCACCTAACAGATTTATACCACCGGTGGAAGCTGAGGGAATACCGAGGCACACATGATATTGTACTTTTTCTTTCTTACCACCTTGAAGGTTCATATTTCCACTTCCTCCATGAGAAAAACAAAATAATGCCTATTTGATACAATTCTTTTCTATAAGACAAACATCAGATGATTCCCTTTGAGGAGAGATGAAGTCCCTCATTAGTGCCCTTTTGGATTCTGTCTTGGTGAGAATTTAGGCCACCTTGAGTGCTGACCAGCTGTATCATAGCCATCTCTGAATTTGTCCTGTAAACTTTGAAGAGGTGAATAAACATTTTGTAAGGGTTGGAATTCCCGGAAGCACACATGAGCCTCCCCACCGGCGCCCATGGAAAACAGAAGCCTAGAGGCCCTGTGCTCACATAGGAGAGATGTGTCTATTCTGCCTTTCTTCTCCACCCTCCCCTCAATCTCTGAGGGCCTTCTCTGGGATTGGGAGAGCAGTGTAGCCACTGATTGAACTGTTTCAGGATTTTCAGAAGTATAGTTAACTTCATTATCTGTATTTCCAAGAGGTCAGGTCGTATTTATGCTGAGAACAGGACAGTGTCTATATAATCTGAGAGCATCATCCTAAAATGTTAATCCACCTAATGTGAATCCCACAGAGAATCTGAGCTTTGGAAGGAGTCCTAGGGTAGCTGAATTCAGATGCTTCCTTCCTCCCAGGGACAAGAGTGTTGGGACAAGAGTGTCAGTGTCTGCTCTTACATTCTCATGGGCATGCTTTACACACACCCCTTTTTAATTCCCAAATCTGTGTTTATGGGACTCCATGAGGTTCTCAGGCTATAGGTTATTAGCACTTGCCTGTGTCACTGAATGTGAGTGCTGGCTTTACAGCAACAACTATGCACATGCAAATACATTTTTAAATGATGTGGTTAATACTAACGTGGTGTGACTTGTTGTTTTTGTTGTTAAAAAGTTTTTTTTATTTGTTTCCCCCAGGTTCCAGTGGAATACCTGTGAAACTGGTCACAAATCTCTTTAGTTTGGGTCTGCCACAGGACTGGCAGCTGTACCAGTATCAAGTGACGTATATGCCAGATTTGGAATCTAGAAGCTTGAGAATTGCTTTGCTTTACAGTCACAGGGAACTTTCCAACAGAGCAAAAGCGTTTGATGGGACCATCCTTTTTCTCTCACAAAAGCTAGAAAAAAAGGTACAGTATAGTTACTTTTTAATACCCACATACACACATATGCATATGTTTATGCTCATCTGGATATATTTAAGAGGTTAGCAGATTTTCTTTTCTTTTTTTAATTACTTTATTGTTCAATTGTATGGTTGTTTGCATTTTCTCCCCACCTCTCCCCCACACCCCAGCCAGACCCACCTCCCTTCCTTGCTTCCACCTTCCCCCTTGGTTTTGTCCATGTGTCCTTTATAGTAGTTCCTGATGATTTTCGTGCGTTGGAATGAGTGTTTCACTTCTTTCCTCTTTCCTATTCCCATGTTTGAGAGTAAAATAACTTCCTACTTAAGGCCTCATTCATAATTGATTTCTTAATTAAGAAGCTGATGGTCTGGCATTTTAAAAATAAGAGCTATAATATAAACACTGCTTTTGAACTTTGTTTTTTTGTGAAGTGTCCTTGAAATAGGCATCCTTTTTAAACTTTTCCCAATATAGGCAAGACTGAAACACCATTCGGCATATGGCTTCAGGCCTTTAAATTTACTTTTTTTTTTTGTTCCTACACAGTGGTGCCCATGTGTCCTAATAACTTTACATTAATCTCTGATTCTAAAACTGTCATTTATTTTATGACTTGTCTTACTATATGAAATATGAGTTATTGATGCTAATCTTAAAGACATATTTTAATCACGTGACCACTGCATAATTCATAGTCCTTTTGCAGTTTCAGTCCTAAAACAAAGATATTGGCATTGAAGTTTTTATCCTATGCTTTGTTCTAAAGTAATATTAAAATTTCTACAAGGAAAAAGAACCAATTTCTGTATGAAAAAACAGAACATTGGATTAAAATTGTATACTTGTATTCCTTGGAAAACTTAATCCTTTAGGCCAGTGTTTTGAACAGAGTGGGATCAATAGTGTACATTTCTAGACTCTGTGTAAAATCATTGTGAATTTCCTTAAGAAATGCATTTCTGAGCACTCTTGGGGCCTTTATCATTTTATGAAATCCTGAAATTTATGGGAGCTACTTGAGTGTTTATTTCATCTGAATATGGAACTTTAAAATTATACCAGATAATTAAATTTAAGGGCTTGAAAAATCTGGACCTATAAATTTAGAAATATTTTTATTTATCTTAAGTTCTTACTGATCCTCGGTATTTTGTCATATGACCAGATGTTCATAGCATGCTAATATTGTCTCTCATACTGAAAATATATACCTCAAGTATATTGTAATCATTTAAGACCACCATGCTTATAGATAATTTGTAGTAACAATTTGGAAATTTAGATATATTAAAATTATTATATACCACCCCCACCATCTTAAATGATCTAGTTTACTTAATGTACCTAACCAAAGTGGAGAAATTTTATAGATGCTAGGAATAAATTAACATTATTCACTTCTCATTCAAAATAAGTAGTAGTAAGTGCCTCACACCTTATTGTTGGAGATGGGATTTAATGAGGGGGCAGGTGAGTAAATAGACAGTAAAAACAGAGTCTGACAAATCAGGTGTGTTGATTTCACTTCTCAGACACAGGTGATACTATGTTTAGACAAAAGTGTGTTGTCTTATTCCTCATTCACACATGACCTGCCACCCAGTGACAGTGGAAATGAAGTAGTAAAAAGAAAGTATCCTAATGAAGATAGTACTACCTCACCTTATTCTGGTCTTACTATTGACTCGGGCTAGCTAAATCCTGCGCTCTCATCCACACACTACAAACTTTGTCAGATGCTTGTATTAGTTGGAAAAGCTCCTCCACTAATTCATTCATTGTGCTCCCAAACAGTGCAGTTCTAGAAGTCCTGTTCTGCTGCTTCCCGGTCTTCCAATGTCATCCAGATCTGATCTGTGCATCTGTAGCCACAATCTAGGTTCCTATCACCGGTCACATTGAATTGCCACTCTCATGCATTCATTCTACACTTAGAAAGAGCCTACTGTGTGCCTGGCAGGGTGCTGCCACCATGGAGGAAACAGGATCAATAACCAAAGGCTCTTGTCATCTAAAGATCTTTCCATTTAGTACTGAAGTTATTTACAGAGAAGTGCAGTGTGAGGTAGAATGAAATGAGTGGCATAATAACTACTAGTGTTATTATGCTAACATTTACTGAGCACGTACTAGGTATCAGATGCTATGCTTGGTTGTTGAAATTAGCCCCAGCACACCTGTTGGGTTGAGCCAATCTATACTTTGTGTTACACCCACCAGGCTACAGATCTTCTTATTCTGCCAGGCTCTGTATATGCATGATCGCATTTAATCCTCTCGTCACCCCTGGAGCGTTTGAGAGGTTAAGTATCTTGAGGTTAAGGTCTTCACATAGAGCTTGAGGAAGGAAAGCTCATTCCAGCAGGACACTTCAGAGGGAGTGATAATTTGTTTTTAGGGCAGGATTTGGATCAGCAAGGGAGGGTGGTGGTGGTGGTGTATTCCTGGACGGAAGGACAAGAAAAAGGAGCAAGGGCACAATTTGGGGAAATGGGGGACATGTGTTATTTTATGCATTGTTTACTTTTTAAAAAAGATTTTTATTTATTTATTTTTAGAGAGAGGGGAAGGGAAGGAGAAAGAGAGGGAGAGAAACATCAATGTGTGGTTGCCACTCACACAAGTCCCCTGCTGGGTACCTGGCTTGCAACCTAGGCGTGTGCCCTGACTGGGAATTGAACCAGACACTCTCTAGTCCACAGGCAGGCACTTAATCCACTGAGCCACACCAACCAGTGAAAGAGACAGGTTTTAGAAACTTCTGATAGTTCAGGGTAAGCCAGGAAGTAATGGCAATTGTTACTCAGAAAGCAAGGAGAACTTTAAGTGCCCTGTTGAGCAATAGGGACTTTCCTCCAAGGGCCTCTGAAGCCATTGGGAGTTAGTTTCCATGGGAGCTAAGTTAAAGAACAGTTACTCTGATCACATCCTTTTGAATTCTTAACATGAGAAAAGTGGGAAAATTATTAACTAAGTGTTACTGGAATGATCTGGGTAGAATGTGCATAGGGCTTGAAGAATGGTCCAAAGCACTGCTACAGATAAGGATAAGGTCCGTGAATTACCTCACTTGAATTTCACAGCCCTGGACTCACTCCCACTTTAAAGATGGGAAAAAGTCTTAAAGAATTGAAGTAACTTGCTCCATATCTCATGGGCCACAAGGGGCAGAGGACCAGGATCTGTCCAATTCCAAATTAAAGCTAAGCTCTGTGGAAAATAATGGTATTGGAACAGCTGAAATAGATTAGAGACATTGCTAGTGTAGAAGTGCTAAGACTTGCCAACTGATCACATAGTGGATGGAGGAGAGGAAGTAAAAGCTCACTCTGAGGCTGGCAGCCCAGGATTGGAGGGTGTGGGGTCTCAAAACAGACCCAGAAAGCAAGGAGGAGTTGGTGTTTGGTGGGAGAGGTGCAGGGAGTGCCAATGAGTTCTTAGATACCAATGCTCTTCTTAGTGCCAATGCTCTTAGATAGCCGTTAGAAATGCTGTTCCTGGATAGAGGTCTTAATGGAGACCATCTGCTGCCCACCCCCCCTCCCGACCCCAACCAACCATTCACCACAACATCCTTTGTTGTCTTAATTCTTTGTCCTGAAATCTCCATGGCGGGGTGAGAACCCCTCATCCCTCCTGGTTGCTAGATCTCTCCCAGATGTTGATGAGCTCTTTCTGTAGCTTTCCACCTTTGATTTCTCTATAGTTTTATTTGAAGCAAGAGATCATCTCAATGAAATATTTCAGCTCCTAGGAAAGTACCTGTTTCTCTTTGTTTCCATGCAATGAGCCATTCCTACCCTACATTTTTTTTAAATCCACACCCAGGGAAGGAGAGGGAGAGAAACATCAGTTCGTCATTGGTCCATTGTCTGGTGCAAGCGCCTATACTGAAGCAAAACCTGAAACTCAGGCATGTTCCCTGACCAGGAATTGAACCCACAACCCTCAGGTTTATGGACTGATGCTTCAACTAACCAACCGCACCACACGAGCCAGGGCCCTTGACAACATTCTTGGTTCAACCTTAAAGTGGTTTAAACTACACTTTATAGAAAATAAGGGTAAAATACATAAATGCTTGCTAATGGACTGATCTCTTCTAATTTTCTATCCTTCTGAAAAATCCTTCATCACTGAGTTTTATTGACTTCTTTGTTTAGTCTTTTATTCCTAAAATCTGTGTGGAGATTTCTTTGGTTGAATGAGTTTTAAATTTAAAGCTGGTGTAGAAACTTATTCATGCATTCATTTCATTGTTAGAATGTTGTTCCAGATTATAAGAACCCTAGGAATTTCTCTAGACTTTTCAAAAATCAATAAAATCAGATTTCCTATGTATTTAAAATTTCACCACTTTCTTCTCTTTCCTGTTTACTCACCCTTTTTTCTATCTGTTCTCCCTTATCCCTTTGTTTTCTTCCTCTCTTCATTCCTGCTCTTCTCTTTTATGAATAAAATTTTAAGAGACTGTACTCTGAAATCAATGAACTCAGGGTAGACAAGACAGACTTCTGGCCACCCAGAACCCCCTAAAAGTGGGTATGTTATGTACATCCTTGTGGTATATACATATGGGACATTTTCTTGGAATAATGCCTGTAACTTACATCATACTCAAAGTAGTTTGTGACCTCTCTCACCATTCCCCGCCTTTGCCTCTTTGAAAAGTCAAGAACCACTGCTCTGGAATTCTCTTTGGATTGAGTCTTTGAACCCTGAGTCTCCTTTCGATTCTTACAGAATAGAGAGATGTGTTGCTTTTGTAGAATTGGGAAGATACAGAGATGGTAACTCTTCCAAATGTCATGTGTTGATTACAGTATTACTCACATGGTAACACCTGCAGTTTTATTTTTGTTAATGTGTATTAAATTGTGATGGCTTTGTCACATCTGCATTCTGCACAGTTGGGGATAATCTGTAGAGTGCATATTAAATACTTCTTTTCCCAGGTCACGGAATTGTCAAGTGAAACTCGAAGAGGTGAGACTGTAAAGATGACTATCACTCTGACGCAGCAGCTGCCAGCAACCTCCCCTGTGTGCATCCAGGTCTTCAGCATCATCTTTAAAAAGTAAGGTGTCTTAAATGTGAATGTAAATAAGGTTAACGATGCCTTTCAGCATAGATCCTGGGTAGCAAGATAATCAACCATTTTTTTAGGCAATATGCCAGCAACAATGTCATCCTTAGGGCAGTTTTCCATGTACTTGTGCAGTAATGTGCACCACAGCGCATCACAGCCTCCAGCCGGCATTCATCATCATTATCCTGTACTGTCTGCAGACAAAGAACTCAGGGGTTGTGCTGTCTCTGTGGTAGCAGAGAGGGTGCCTTTTTCCTTCTCTTCCTTTTCTGTACCCTGTACCCCTTCCTCTTAAAAGTTGAGAATGTCTGAATTAGTACTGAAGCATTTGTTTTTCTTCTAGTTGATTTATTTTAGTGTAAAAGGCCACCATCATCTGCAGCCTGCTTTCACTCGGGGCTGGGGCGGGGGTGGGGGGGGGGTGGGGGGGGCTTGGGAGGGGGGCGTTGCAGAAGGAAGGTGGTGACTAAACTTTTCATTGTTCTTCAAACTGATGTGGATCTTTTACTTCAAAGTCATCTCAGGGGCTGGGTGGGGTTGATAAAATGCAGGTTCCCTACCCCAAAATGAACCCAGTGAACAGAATTTCATGAGCGGGATCTGGAAATCCATGTTTTTAGCAAGCTTACTTGGCGACACATGGATACACAGAGCATGCAAACCACTGTTTCCCATGCTATTGGTGCAGATCAGTAAAATGAGCTGTTCACCTAAGATTTGAGTCCTTCGCTCCACACTGACCTCTGGATGGATGTGGATGGGAATTTTGGGTTTTGCTGAGTAGCACTCATGAAGGAACTTCCCCTACACATTTTCCTCATTCCATATGACTTTCCTCGTCATATTTCTTGCCATTCCCTTTACATCTTACCTGGGCTTCAGTTCATTGCTGCATCACACTCTTCAGAGGGCAGTCTTGCACGTGCCCTCCTGAGAGGGGACCATTTTAAGTCAGCTAACATTGCAAAGGTGCCTTTCAGTTGGAAAGCCCTTTCACTTGTATTTGATCTTACTTGATCCTCACTTTAGTGCCCTGAAGCAGGTACCATGAAAATTCACTTTTCACAGATAAGTAGGCTGAGGCCCAGGGATATCTGGAGCCAAAATCACGCAGTTTGAGCTCCCACACAATGTTTCCTGCGTGGACTGGGCAGCCTCAGATCAGTGATGTGCCCCATTACAAAGCTAGCTAGGACCAGCTGCCGAAGAGGCACTCGTGTTTTTTGGCAGCACCCAGACAGCTTGAGCAGCCCCCTTGGCAACATCCTTCCTCATCTCAAAAGAGGGAAGAGGCCAGAAGAGCCTTCAGGCATGGCTTGGCTCCATTCGCGCTGACCAAAGTGTTACAGCCGCAGTCATAACTGTTCAAGTGGCTGCGTACTTGTCATTGCAGTTAAACCCAGGCAGATAAAAATAATTTTGGTGGTGTCATTCTCAGATATGAAAAAGTGATCATTCTGATACATACACTCACGTGTATATTTGGTATCTGAACTTCCCTGTGCTATAAGAATGAGAATTTTGTACTTTCTACACGTGTTTATCACTATGTTCAGGATGGGTACAAACTTAAAATTACACTGTTATTCACTTATGTTTACCAAAAAGTAAAAAAATGTATACTTGCAGGATCTTAAAGAAATTGTCCATGTACCAAATTGGACAGAACTTCTATAAGCCTTCTGAGCCAGTGGAAATTCCTCAGCACAAGTAGGTTTGTTTATATTTTCTGTTACTCTGAAATACTTATAATGTGAGCATCATAATGTATGATGCAGTATTAAACTGTTAGGCCTCCTATGAGGGCACATGCTATGAAAAGTAATTGATTTTTTTAATTTTCAAGTTTTTTATAGAATGATGAGTGTCGGCATGAAGCTAGAAGCCAGGTTTCTTAGTGTGTTAGATTATCATAAATCCTAGAAGGAATTCAGAAACTGAATTTTCCATGTGCGATAAGTAATAATGAAAGCAGAGTAAGCTATATTATGTCATACTACATAGTGGGTGCTCTGTTTTCTTGCTGACAGGAAGTTGTCACAGCCAGGTCGGGTGATATGGGTAAGTAGCGGTCAGACAAACAAGCCAAGTAAACTCCTAGGGGAAGGATAGAACTGTTCCGAACACGTGCAGAATTTTAACTCCAAACTGGGAAGCAGATGCTGCCGAGAAAGTGCTGAGCTAAGTCTTGAACTGGTTGTTACTCAGCTCTCCAAGTATGTGGCCAAGCTAAAGACAGGGAGGGAGGCAGCCAGCAGCCCAGGGAGAGATGTGTTAGCAAAGGGAGAAATCCATAAGGACAGTGTTATGGAACAGCAATTGGGGTCCTGCTGCCTGCTGCTGCCCTCTAGGCAAAAACTCCAGAGGCAAAGGTTTGGTGATAAAGGAGTCTTTATTCAAAAGCAGTTACTTAAGCCTATCAAGTCACCACTTCTATCATTTAAGCCTATCAATTAAGGCTAAACTCTAACACCTGAGTTCCCCTACCTTTTCCTCTGTTACTAGTTATTTTGTTTCTATAGGGTCAGTGTATGAACTAAAAACAATGTAAGATACAAAAACCGCACAATTTTGGAAGAATGGCAGGCTTCTGCCTCAGCTCATCTCCTCTGGAATACTCAAAAAATGAACCTGTCACCCTCTGCCAGGTCAGCCCAACCCTAGGCTGTGCCCAGAGTTCCTTCCCATGTAAAATACTGCCCGTTGGGAAATACAGGAAGCTGCAGCACCATCACCCAAGCATCCTAGAGTGAGCCTGGAAGCTCTCTCCTTTGTATTTCTGTTGGCTCTGGAGGCATTCAACTTCTCAGCCAGTCCCGTCCTGGACTGCCCACAATTGCCTCGGCAAACTCCTCCCACAGCCCCTCCCTTCTCCTCTCCAGTGATCTGAATTATCTTAACCAGATCTCTTAGTATCAGTTGAAGCTGAGGGCAGGGTGTTTGGCCTTCTGCTAAGTGGAGGAAAAATTGGGGTTTTCCAAGTGTTAGTTTAGTCTGTCTGAGTAGTCTGTGTAAAGCATGCTGTTAATTTATCTTTCCACCTGGATTAGAAATTCTCACAAGGCCAGTGTGTACTGAGCTGGAGTGGGTGAAGGCTGGCTTAGTATCACAGTGAATGAAGTACACAAAATATAAACTGAAATGATTTTAAAAATATTTATCTATTCTTTCATGTGATTTTTGCCACTTTTTCTTATTTGAGGCTCCAGTCTATAATACTCCTCAATGTGGAAAGGAGCTGTAGCCTGGCTACAGTTTTGTATGTCTGCACATGATACCATTTCAGTTCTTTTTTTTTTTTTAAGATTTTTAGTTATTTATTTTTAGAGAGGAAAGGAGGGAGAAGTGCAGTCGCCTCTCATGCACCCCGTACTGGGGACCTGGCCCACAACCTAGGCATGTGTTCTGACTGGGAATCAAACCAGCCACCATTTCGTTTGCAAGCTGACACTCAATCCAATGAGCCACACCAGCCAGGGCCGCTTCAGTTATTTCTTTATCTCGTTGTTGAGTCTCTACACTGTCTTCACCACTCAGTCAGTGTGCTTTGTTTTCAGGCTGTGGTTCTCCATAAACATATCAGTCTTTGCTGGGACACTTTTGTCCCCCAGGGCACATTTGGCAATGTCCGTAGACATTTTGGGTTGTTCCAGCTGGGGGGCTGCTAGTGGCAGCCAGCAGGTAGAGGCCAGGATGTGCTTAACATCCTGCAACGTGCAGGGCAGTCCCTAACAACAAATTATCCAGGCCAAACTGTCAGTAGTGTCAGGACTGAGACACCTTTCCTACAGGAGTATATTTTATATTAGATATGTTTAAAGACATTCCAGCTGGAGATAGCTAAAGTTTTTAGTCAGCACCTGGAAGAAAGTAGACTAAGGAAAAAATTATTTCACAAAAATCTAGAGAATTGGAATGTAAAAGCCACCATTTAAAAATGTTTAGTGATTACAGAGGGTAGGGAGTAGGTAGAGGTGGGAAAGGTTACAAGGGGGATACTGGTAACAGAAAAGACACAATAAAAATTAAAAAATAAAACTGTTTATTGTTTTTCTGATATGGCTTTCACATTTCTATTTATTTTTTTAAGGTTGTCCCTTTGGCCTGGGTTCGCCATTTCTGTGTCCCAGTTTGAAAGCCAGCTCTTGTTTAGTGCTGATGTAAGTTATAAAATCCTCCGGAATGAGACTGTTCTGGAATTCATGGCTGGTCTGTGCGACCAAACTGGCGTGTCTGGCTTCACCCACATGTGTGAAAAACATCTGCTTGGGCTCATTGTCCTTACAAGGTAAAAGCCTGCTTTTAAACAAACTTTCCCCTAGAGAATGAGTTGTTTATGGTATTTGGAAACAGGAATAGCGTCAGGGTGTCATGGGACAGGGACCCGCAAGCCAGTTGGTCGTGTGTGGGTTCTTGACTTCATGTAGGAAAAATTTCGCGCCAGGAGTCCATGTGATTGATTGATAGTACCAAAGCTGGGGACAGTGAAACAAGGAAGGGCTTAGCGTAGAAGCAACAGGAGAGCCCAGGTGGGGCTGCTTTGGTTCCCTAAAAATGTAGGTAAGAAATGAGCCTCAGCAGGGCTGCTTTGACTCACTAAGTCAGAGAAAATGGGGCCTTGGAGACAGGATCAGGGGGTTAGCTCAGGATGAGCTGCTGCTGCCCACTGCTCCCCTGGGACCCTTAGGGTTTGGGAGATGCACGCCTGTGGGGGAGAAAGGCGGGGAGAGGCGGAAAGGAAAGATGCTGGCTTGCTCCCTGGAGGGAGAGGATGCCCTGGGTCCTTTGTTTTGAGGGTTTTTAAGGGCTAGGAGTTTAGGGTCGGTCTTAGGGGATGATCTCAATAGAATATTCACCAACTTTATGCTGATGTACCAAAATGAGATTTAGTCCCTTAACTTCATCTGTCCTTGGGTGTGGTTGGAACAAATGGCACTAATTGGATTTCTGCTATCTATGTCCCTGAGTAGGCTGATTTAAGCTATTTACCTTCTGGTTGGTGAGAAAAAGTATAAACCATTCACTCTTAAGTGTCTTTGGTAATGGCAGGCAGAACTTTGCGATTGACTGGGTAGCTGGCTGTAAACTTCTTGGCTGTTCAACTGTCTCATTTCTCTATTCCATTTGTCCTGGCTTACTGGCCTGTCTCAAGGGTATTGGCCTGACCACAGATCTGATCAGTTCACTGTCCCGTTTAGAGGGCCTGGCTGTTCTCATTTGTCTAGAGTTCAGATCTTCTTGATTGGCATTCTGGACTGCCCACAGTCTGACCTGCTCCTGCCTTATCTCTTGTCTTACCCCTCCCCCCACCCCCAGTAGTCTGCACTTTGCTGCTGTAGTATCTCTACCTGGATTTGTTACAGGAGAAACTCCTAGAAACTCAGTTCTTCCCACCAATGCAGTAGAGAATTAAAACTCAGTGAGTCTATTAGCGTGCAAGCAGGATTTATTGATGATCCATTCTCCTAGAACAGAACAGGCCTAGCTGAAGTGGGGGTGGGGGGCTGAAGTGGGGTAAGGGTGGTGAAGGTCAGGGAGGCCAAAGGCCAGGTGGCAAGCATAGAGGTGGTGAAAGCTGGGTTTGTAAGCACAGAGTGCCCTCAGGCCTGGCCCAGCGCCAGAGAGAGGAGTGCCAAGCTCCAACCCCACCCTAGCCCTTTGTCCTGCTGACTTACAAAGGTGGTGGCATGTGGGGCTGGGCGAAGAAGTTACATGTTTACTGACAGATAAATGTGGTGCTAGCTTTCCAGGACAGGGTGTGAATACCCAAAGGTATTAATGGGCTTCTTCCTTTAGGCACTATGGGCCCTTGGAGCCTTTCAGGCCTTGGGATGAAAGCAGTTTGAAAGGCCTCCTTTCCTATATAGTAGAAAAGATACACAGAATTTCAAGGCCTGCTGAGTCAGTGGGTGGGACAAGTATCTCTCCTCCTCCCTGCCTTTGTTTGCTATCTATCCTACCTTAGCAGATTCCCTACCCTAATTCTGCCTTTTAAATGTCTGCTTTCACAAAGCCCAGCTCAAACATTACTGCTCTTCTGAAGCCTCCACTTGTCCACTCAATTGGAATGACTCGTTCCCTCCCCTGTGCTACTCCCATAGTGTGTTGCCAGGAGCCACCACTTTATAGCTATTTTATTTTATTTTATTATTACAGTATGGGATAGACTGTTAGGCCCATGTCTCATCTTCTCTATGCGTATGAGGTCTTTAAGGCTGAGACCTTTCAAGCCTCTAGGTATCTGTATATATGATTTGCCCCTTATGCACATTGAACTGAATTACACGTGAGCAGATAAGGTGGCTTCCTGAGTACTGAAAAGTTTACCATATACTGTTACTACCTCACAACACTTCTTCTAGAGGATCTGCTGCCCTTCTAGTCTGCCTGAGAATTTCCATGGAAAATTGTTTTTCTGGCTTACAGAACACAGCGGTGGGACTGTTTAAATTCCATACTAGCTGGGGTGAGAAAGCTGCCTTCTAATCCCATCTTGCCTTCATGCTGGTTTATCCCACCATTGTGTAGTCACCTCGCCAGCAACCAAGAACCCTGAAGAAAGAAACCTGACAAGGAAGTTTCTGTCCTGAGGTGGGGGTTGGGGTGGGGGAGTGGCGTAGGAGACTTTCCAGCTACGGAGCTCTGAAGAGGACAAAGAGCTCAGAGTAATCTTAGCTGACCTTATTTGCATTTTGCTGAGGGCCAGCCCTAGATGGAAGGTAGAGCAGCACCCCAAATCAGCCCTCTTTATGTGTGTTTTATTGGAAAAGCTGTCTAGGGGCTCAGAAAAAAATCAGTGTGGCACCAGAAGCTGATGGGAAAGTTTTGAACCTCCCAGCTTTAAAGAATGAGCTACCTGAAGTCAGAGTGTCTATCAGTGAGAAAAACAGTTTGTGGCCTGACAACTTCTCTCCCAGTGTTGTTGGAATACAGTAGTCTTCCCGTGGGGTGCACCACCTGCTGCCTGCAGGCCACACGTGGCCCAGGATGGCTGTGAATTCGACCCAACAAAAAATCATAAATTTACTTAAAACTTTCTTTTTGCTTATCAGTTTTTGTTAGTGTTTGTGTATGTCATGGGTGGCCCAAGACAGCTCTTCTTCTTCCAGTGCGGCCCAGCACTTCTGGCACCAGACACTCTCGCCAGTGCAGACTGAAGGGTTAATTATTTTTCTTCCCAGAGAAGAACTGATCTTTTTTTTTAAGTGACTATTTCATGTTACTCTCTTTCATAATTTCTGAAATCTGGAGTCTGATACTTTGAATTAAAATTGTAGTAAAATTGCTGTATATCTTGTATGATTTGAAAAAAAAATTAAAAGTTTCTTGCATGCACCAGATACAATAACAAAACCTATCGCATTGATGACATTGACTGGTCAGTGAAGCCCACAGACGTCTTTCAGAAGCGGGATGGCACAGAGATCACCTATGTGGATTACTACAAGCAGGTAGGACTTCGTCCCCTCCTTCCTCATCTCCCTTCCTCTTAGCTCAGAGAAGTCTCCCTATTCCTCTCCAAGTCCAACAGGTTCTTTAAATTGTCAGGCTGAGTGTGCCTCCACCATCATTCTCTGACTTGTCCCTTCTGCTCCATCCCTACCATCCTTGCCTTGGCCCAGATCCTGGACAGTATCCTCAGCCTCCTGTTGTCCTTCTTCCTGTAGGCTGAGTCATCTCCCTTAAAAGCATGCATGGTAACATCGCTTCCCTGCTTAAAATATTTCCGTGGTTCCCTATTTCCTTAGGAGCCAGATGTAATTAAGCTCTTGGGCAGAGTTCCCAAGGCCATTTATGATATGACCCGTCTCCACCTCTTGAGTCTCTTCTCCTACCACTGCTGTTTCCTCTGTATGTTCTGTGGTTACTTCCCTTTGCATTTTCACACATGTTGCTTCCTCTTCCTGGATACCCCTTCACAGCCAGCCAGTCACCGAACACCCTCAATACTCAGCTCTGATGTCAACTCTTAGGGGAATCCCATGATGCTCTCCCCAGAGCCCCCTTCCCTGCATCAAATTATTGTGGGCAGGATGTGAATGGTCTGACTCCCCTCTGGACTTCACCCAGGGCTGGCACAGTGCCTTGCAAGTAGTAGACATGCAAACATTTACTAATGGACTCTCCTGCTGTCTCTGGAAGTTTGATTCACAATTATCACAGTTAGCCCTGCCCCCACCTCCACCTTCAGAGGCTCCTTCTTTTAATGTGCAGTCGTATTCCAGAGAGTCTGAAAACACTCTCACAGCTGTTTTTAAAAAACACAAAGCAAAAACCTTTCTGTCACCTTTCTACACCTTCAATAAAAGCTGTCTCCTTTTTCTCCTTAGCTAATTTCTTTAGGCCATCACCTACATCAGCTCCAAGCACCAAATCAGTTCTTCCTGAAGTCTGGTGTCTGTTTTGGCTGCTACAGAAATTGATCTTTACGGGTCAAATTCACTTACTCTTCTCATCCTAATGGGCTTTTAATGGCATTTGACACTAGTGACCACCTTCACCCGGATACCAGGGGTACATCCCTGATGGTTCTCTGCTAGGTTTCAGATTGTTTTTTCTCAGCCTTTATTTTTAAAATGTTTTTCCCTGCTAATTTCCCCCAAACCTTAAATGCTATTATTCACCATGGTTCCTGTGTGTAGGATCTTTTCTTTGTATTTTGAGACCTCTAAAATATAGTATTTTTGTCTTGCCCTTATTTCTAAATGGCATACTCGTCTCTATTTTCAGACTATCTTGGCGTGACTATCCCACAGACATCTCAGACTAACGTAATTCGTACTGAATTCATTGTCTTTCTCACATATTTCTCCTTGGGATTTGCTTCCTTGCCCTGTTTCACCCTCACCTCATCCCTTGGTTGTCACCAAGATGGGTGCTACCTTTTTTATCCTTGAATTATCCCTGGAGCCCACACCCCTCTCCACCCTACTCACCACCTAAATACAGAACCTCTCATGGATTCCCACCTGGGGCATTTTCTTCACCCCTGTATGGTCTCCCAACTCCAGCCCTCTCCTCACTGTGACCTGTCATCTCACTGCCACCAGGAAGAGCTCTCTCAAACACTGCCCAGAGATGTGGTTAAGAGCATAAGCTCTGGATGAGATGGTCCTGGTACTAGCTGTGTAACCTTGAGCAAATCGCTAAGCGTGAAGTGTTGTCTGTGACAGGGAGTCATTTGCCTGCCTTCAGGGTGCAGAGAAAACAGTGCACGAGATAATAGTGCACACAGGGCACCTAGCCCAGCACCTGCACATTGTGAGCACTGGGTGAATGGCGAAGACCCTGCCCCCTTTTCCCAGCCTCCCCTCTTTATCTCTAGCATCGCAGTTTGGCCCCCTCTCCACTTGAGCATCATCTCCCACGGCATTCTCACCGGGCACCCCATGCTGCCGTCACCCAGTCCACTTGACGTCTGTCACTAAATGCTCCCCAGCTTTGCTCAGGTTCACTAGACATCTGCATAAAGCCACACCATACCTTTGTTCTTCACCAGCAGGAAAATCCTAGCCTTGAGGTCAAAGGTCACCTCATTAGCAAAGTTCTTTCTTGACTCTACTTCCCATCACAGTCACAGAAGAGCCTAGCTGTGCTCTCAGCACTTGTCACACTGCTTCCAGAGCACATCTTCCTTCTAGGACAGAGGTGGCATTTGGCTAACCCTTGATGCCCAGTGCCTCACAACAAATCTTGTGCATGAAATGTGCTCCATAGCACTTATTTGTAAACACAGAGTCTGTTCAATGTTTGGGTTTCTCTTCTGTGTGGTTAAATTTGTTCTCTTTTGAGCAGATGGATTTTAGGGCCTGTGACATCCTGAAAAGGAATGATTGTAAAATCCCACTCACTTTGTTTGAAGTGAGTCATATTCACTACATTTATGTTGTAACTGAAGAGAAAAAGAAACAAAAGTGCCTTTTTCTCAAATGTCTTTCTCTCTGTCCAGAAAAGGATCACTAAATTACTACATAGCCCACTTTCAAAGTGGAAGACATGTTGATATTGACCTTTGTATTTCTCTATTTAATCTTATCATGAACCTTATTTTCAAATGCTAAGAAAACTGGGACAAGGGAGAGGGTAAAATTAATATAGCGTAGCAGGGAGAATTCCTGGCCATGCCCCAGGTAAATAGAATACTCTCTTCCCGGAACGCGTTTCGCTCAAGTTGTTACCCTGGAGTCCTTATGCCCCCACACTTTCTTCAAGTCCAATCTCTTTGGACTCTGCCTCCTTCATAAAGCCCTTCCCTGATTTAAGAGCCATAAACTGTTTTACTACGACCAGCATTTCTCCCTCCCCAAACCCTCCCTGCCCCCAGGATGCAGTATTGAGTGTTGAAACAAGCAGAGGTTCCCAAGTCTTTGGGGATAAGTCCTGGCTGTGCTAATGTCCAGTTGTGGGGCCTTGGGGAAGTTGTTCGCTGCTGATGGTGTTTCCTCATCTATGAAGGGGATGATGATAATATCTGCCTCATAGGTTTGTTAAGGTTAGAGAAGGAAAAATATAAGCACTTAGCATATTGTTGTTTGTGCTTCCCATCTACCTTGCTTTATGGACAATTACCCGCTGCAGCTCCTGGAACATCGTAGGCACAAGATGTGTACTGAATTAATGAAGTCATGTATAAAAACTCTTCCTTCTACAAAGGCTTTTCTAAGCTTTTTAGCTGTAACTTGAGTTGCAGTCACCACTGTAAGTTGCAATTTTCTGAATTGTTTTTTATTTTAATGACTACAAGTCCTTATTGAAATGGAGGAACTCTCACTTCTTGCTTAATTATAATTATTGATATCAGCATCACATGGTGCCCAGGCATTTTATAATTTATAACTCCAGTTGTTCTGTCATTAGTGCTGAGTAAATTATACTGGAGATGAATGTTAACTGGAACTCTTGCCTTTGGAAGAGAAATGAACTTCGGGCAAAGTGAAATGTTGAAATTTAGGCCTAGGAGAGGAAAAGGGGGTAAGGTAGGAGGAGTTCATTAAAAACCAGACATGATGCTAGTGGTTTACATGGGTACTACTGAGCTACTGTTCTCTTCATCTGATACAAGAGGAAAGGGAGGTGCTTCCCCCGTGTCCCAGTACAATTAAGTTGGTTTGGGGATCAGATACACATTTGTCAGACTTCATAGCTGCTTCCCTACAACATCTTGCAATCCTGGAAGTTAAGGACAGTCATGCTCTTTGGGAACGTCTGAGGTTGACTTAATGGAACCCTGGCCTCCAGCTTGTGTATAGACATTTTCAAGATGAATATAGTTGCATAGTCAGTCAGTTACGCACGGGGCAGCCTGCCTCCGTCGTCAGTGGTGGGAATGCTGGCCTGCACCCAGCTCCAGCAGGTCGCTGACCTGAGTATGGAGCCAGCTGGAGGCTGTTTTGACTCTGGACGGAACCCAGAAGAGAGCAGGGACATGATTACAAACAAAATAAAACAATGTTACCCTGTGAAAGACAATTAAAAACTGGTCCTCAGATATAAAAGATAGAACTTGAGAGGAAGGAAGCAGAAATGAGTAGGTAACCATGGGATTTTTTTTCTTCATTGAAAACATTTGCTTATGTATTCATTTTGCAATTACCTTGTTGCTTATAAGCAAAGATGCTCATTGTACGGTGTTTCCATATTAACTTTTCCCTCATTAATCTTGCATTCTATAGCAGTATGATATTACTCTATCTGACCTACATCAGCCAATGCTTGTTAGTCTGTTGAAAAGCCAGAGAAATAACGCTGAGGCTCGGATGGTCCACCTGATACCCGAGCTCTGCTTTCTAACAGGTAATGTTTATGTTTTACACTCTAGCAAGTTCTTGACCACAGGCTTCTGATACTTAGCAGTGGGCAGAACCTCCTTCAGTTAGCTGCATGCCAGAGCATTGACTGAACCCCTGGAGGATGGAGCCTTAAGTAATTTATTTGATAGTAAAGAAGTGGGAGGATAAAGTGTCCTTTGGAAATTGCTGTTACCTCATGTATTCCATTTGTTATTTCGATGTAAAATAGGTGCCAGATATTTTCCTGAAACCAAGCTGTTGTGCTTTGCCATTTTTTGAACTTCACTAGTTTAGGAAGTGATGCAAGTTTTTCTTCTAGTTTACTGTTTGTGACAAAATCATCCTTATTTTCTTTTTGCATGTGCTTCCAGAAGGTAATCTTCACTGTATACTGACTAACAGTCTTGAGTCCTTTTCATCATGTTTCTTTGATTAGCAGGGTGGGACTAAAGAAGGGAGGACTTTCTACTTTTTACATATTTATATTGCCTATATCAGTATGGCATGTGTATGTTTGTTTTGTGATTAGAAACACTCATAAGGATATATTCCTTGAAGGGAGGGATGCTCATTGTTAGTGGTATTCTGATATTCTAGATCTGCACAGTCCCCGTGGTAGTCAGTAGCCACGTGTGTTTGTGGAGCACTCGAGATGTGACTAGGGTGACTGAGGAAATGGGGAGGCGCTGTGAGTGTAAAGTTCAGACTAGATTTCACAGACAGTATAAAAAAAGGAAAATAACTGAATGAGTTTTTTATATCAATTACATGTTGAAATGATAATATTTTGGAAATATTGAATTAAATGATATGTACTATTTAACAATTTCACCTGTTTCTTTTTTTATAATTTTATTTTTTCGGTTTAGAGAGAGGGAAAGTGGGGGAGAAAGAGAGGGAGAGAAACATCAATGTGAGAGAGAAACATCAATTGGTTGTTTCTCATACGTGCCCTAAACCTGGGGACTGAATCTGCAACTCAGGCATGTGCCCTGACCCAAAATCGAACTGGAAACTTTTTGGTTTGCAGGACAACACCCAACCAACTAAGCCACACTGGCCAGGGCTCATCTGTTTCTTTTTTGGGTGTTTTTGTTTGTTTTTTTTTTTAAACGTGGCTACTAGAAAAGTAAAGTGACATACACAGCTTGCATTTTTATTGGAGAGTGTTATCTGATTCAGCTTCAGTGAAAAGGTTATTCTGCCTGAGATGTGCTGGGGTTATGTTCTATAGTGTTCATTTTTCTTGCTTTATTTTTGTTTACACTTAATAGGACTGCCTAGCCAGGCAGCCTCTGATTTCCAGGTGATGAAAGCTGTGGCTGAAGAAACGCGTCTCAGTCCTGTAGGAAGGCAGCAGCACTTGGCCAGGCTTGCCGACGACATCCAGAGGTACCAGATATCTCACTGGGACCAGGGTACACCCTGCCTCTGACCTAGTTTGTAGAATTGGATGATCTATAAAATGTTGCATTCCCTGATGAAAATGTCTCATTCCTATTGATTCAAATCAAGACACTTTTGAAATGTGTTGTCCAGGGCCTGAGGGTCACCCAGGATACCGCAGGTTTATAGGTTGCAGGGAGGCAGGTAGAAGCTGCTCCGGCAGAACTACCACCCTACATCAGCTAGATGGCTCTGCTTTCATCCACTTAATGCTGTTAGCTTCTGGATAGAAGTTTGAAAGAAGAAGAGGAAAGAGGCCTGTAACTTTAAAAACAAAATGCTCTAAAACCACTCCAGGCCCCCAACAGTCAGGGTCAGGAATGTTCAGGGTCAGGAACTCAGCACACTGGTCATCGGGAAAACCCCACATATATTGTTTAAACTTAGGAATACCTTTGTGCCCTTTGGTTCAGCCAACCTGGTTCTCAGTGGCATTCCTGCCCTCATTTATGACAGTCATCTGTACTCCATGACAGAAAACCTCTCCCTGTTTCCCTTCTGACCTCCTAAAACTTCACTGTCTAGCACGGTAGCCTTGTGTAACTATTGGACACTTAAAATGTGGTTAATGCCACATCTTGAAATGGTTGCGTTTTAGATACATTGGGTTAGATAATATATATCTAAAAAATAATTGTACTTGTTAATTTTTACTTTTTAATGCAACTACTAGAAAATTTAAAATTAAATATGTGGCTTGCTGTATATTTCTACTGGGCAACATTGTTGTAGAATGATCTTTTTTTCTTTAAACATGAAAAAATTTGAAGGAAGAATTTAGAAATTTACATACAAAACAAAAAAGAGGTGTGCATGTGTGTGCGCTCTAAAATGTATTAAATGAATAAATTATAATTGAATGAATGATGTGTATTCTTTCAGATATTTTTAAATGCATATAGTCGTGTTATTTTTAGGGAAATAACACATCATTCATAACATTGTACATCATGTTTTTTTAAAATAACTTTTATTGATTTGAGGGAGAGAGAGAGAGAGGAAGGGAGGGAGAGAGGAACATCGATTTGTTGTTCCACTTACTTATACTTTCACTGGTTGCTACTTATATGTGCCCTGACCTGGGATCAAACCCACAACCTTAGTGTATCAGGATGATGCTCTAAGCAACTGAGGTATCTGGCCAGGTCCTATGCATCATGTTTTGTAACTTGCCCTTGTTTCTATATGATAACAATGTTTCTATATGATAAATGTGCATTTCTGTTATAATGCTTGTGGTTTCATAATTTTCTATTTTATGGTTACTCTTTATGTCACTTATCCTGGATGTCCCCCAGACTCATTCTTACTTGAGAATAACTTATTCCTGTTTATTCCTTGTTCTCTCCGTTTATGGGTTAGTCTTCCTGACATGCCCCTGCCACCTTCCAGTAATCCCGTTTATTTCAGCCTAGTGTCCTGACCAGGAATCACCTCATCCATCTTATCTTTGACAGATAGTACCAGAAGCAAAATAATGAACTCAAAGTAGTCATTAGGATTAGACTAAATGTAACATGAGTTGATGGAAATAATGAGCTTGAGTTGTGGAGAGGCAGTGGTAGAGAGGTTTGAGCTTCCCTAAAGAGAGAGGGGAAGCTTTGATAGGTGAATAAAAGCATGAATTACATCAGTCTCTTCTGTGAGCATCTGGTTCACCATGTACTGGCTACGGTACAACACATGCCAGAGCCCAAAGTCAGCATGACTGCTCTCCTCAAGGAGCTCACAGCTGGTAGCGGTGACCATATATATCATAATCTATGATATATATGATAATCCAGTGAGATAATACATGAACTATGATTAAAGCTCATTAAGTTATAACCTCAATGTACTATGAAGATAAATAAAGTAGTTATTATTGCTAATACTAGTATTTCCCTCTTAGTCTTCCCACTGTCCAGTCTATCCTGTGACTCTTCTGAAGCATAAAGTTCTAGTGCTCCTTTTCTGTATCATCCTCTATCTACTCTCAAGCCACAAATTCAGTTATTCCCAGAAGACGTTTCCACATCCAGAGACTCCACAATATCTCTTTACTAAGTTTATTATCTGGAATAGTATGTTGTTGAGCACACAGCATCTGCCAGGCACTGTGGTATTTGCCGTGTATCATCATATTTAGTCTTCACATCAGCCTTATGAAGTAGCTAGTTTTATAATCCATACATTTTGCCAATAAGAAAACCACAGATCAGTAATGTAAAATTAAAAGTCTGATCAGGGTCATGTATTCTTAAATGTCAGCAGTAGAAGGTAAGCCCTGGTCTGTCTGGCTCCAAGGCCCATTTCTCCAGCTAGCGTGCACCCTGGGAGCCTTTTCCGTCCCTGCAAGTCCCAGATCTCATGCCCATAATTCTTTCAGGAGGAAAAAGAATTAGTGAGTAGAAATAGAAGTCAAGAATCCTAAAAAAAATCAGCCTCTGAATAATTCAGTAAGTTACAATTGTCTCTAATGATTACAATTCTTTAGAAAAGAAGCACTTTAGGAACTTAACACTCAACTCTATCAACAGAAACAAGGATGCTCGTTTTGAGCTGGAGACCTGGGGGCTGCATTTCGGATGCCAGATGTCACTGACTGGCCGGGTTGTGCCTTCAGAAAAAATATTAGTGCAAGGCCACATAGTGAGTGCTGTGATTTTATTTTTATTTAACAGTAACTGCTTGACTGTGTGTAAGTTTGATCACATGCCAGAGTGACTGAGTGGGCTTGTAATGTTCATTTGGTTTCTCCGTGAATGTGTTCTTGTGCTTCCTTTGTCCTAAACCTCGAACTCCCCTCTCTTTTCCTCTTCAATTTCAGTGTACTTGTGTGGGCTTAGCGGCCCCCAGAGCACATGATTTGGAGCTAACCCTTGGGGGCTAACCTTTGGGGGCTAACCCTTCCCCTCCATACTCAGTCAGTGCAACGTGTCACATTTAAAGACACATTAAAAATGGCATTTCAAGCCATTGTAATTAAAACATGCCCACTTACTATTGAGTATTGTATTCTTATGTCACTAAAAAAAAAAAAAAAGAAAGAAAAATCATAGTACCTGGGAAAATTCTGCTGGCTGGTGAAGGTTAATTTCAGTAAATTATGTTTCTTGATATCAGAGTTGTTTTTATCCCAAAATAAAATACTGCTCAGTTGGCATAAACATGAAGAAATTCACACAGATCTCATCCCCAGCCATAGCATTTAGGGGAAACAATGTTCGGAAACTTGAAGAGGCCAATCATTGGTTCTTTAGGGCTTCAGTGGAAGAAGTGAATCTATTTCATACAGAATTGGGCATCACATTTCTACTTTTCCCATTTTAAAATTCAATTATATTTTATTCATTTTAAAGGCTCTCTTCTTGCCCTATTTGATATAATGAACTGACATGTTTAAACATTAGTTTAAACTAAGCAGCAGTTGGTTTGTGTTGGCAGCATGGAGAGTTTTTCACCATTTCTTTTTGATAATCTATTCTAAATTACCAAAAACTTATTGGAGAAGCTTAAAAAAAACCAACTTATAAAAACAGTACAAAACAAAACCACACATAATTATCTAAAGTACTAAAATGTAGTCCCCCATTAGGATCTTGGTCAGGAATCAGTAAAAAGAAGCTCAATTTTAGCTCTACATATGAAGCAGGATATAAATTTAAACATTAAAATGACCTGTCTCATTATCTCTATAAGTAAAGTCTTCTATTTGTCAGCTTTTTTTTTTTTTTTGCATTTTTTTCACATGGAAACAGGGCTCCATAGAAGGAACGTAAAAATGGGAGAACCCAATAAGAAACCTCCTCAAGGTGGCGGTAGATGCCTAGATGTGACTGGGTCATCGACTTCTTGACCAATTCTGCTTTTCTGAGATTGGGTTCTAGGAAATGAGTAAACTAAAGGTTCACAGACCTCAGGGTGGGCCGTGGGCATTTGTCCTGGGTCTTTCGTCAGCCCATAACAGGTAGGAGTGTAGGTGAGAGGGCGTGACTCTTCTCATACGGGCTATAAAGGGAGGGAATAAACCTTGGCTCTAGATAGAACCCTCAATGGAGGGGCTAACCCTTCCCCTCCATACTCAGCCTAAGGTCTCTTCCTGGAGTGGAGTCCCTGCCTAGCAAGGATGGCGGGTGGTTGGAAGTCAGAGTGCTTGGTGAAAAGTACTCTGGTTGCAATGTCAAGAAGACCAGCATTCTAAACCTGTCACTGCCACCAGCTGACTCCATAACCTCTCTCTACCACAGCTTTGGGGTCTGTAAAACAAGGGGATTACAAGGCTTCTTAAACATTCATGTGCAGATGAATCACCTGGGAACTTACTAAAATGCAGATTCTGATTCAGAGGGTCTGGGATGGGGCCCAGGACTCCGTATTTCTAACAAGCTCTCAGGAGAGAGCCATGCTGCTCCAAGACAACACTTTGAGCAACAAGGAATTAGATTATAGTGTGTTTCTTTTAAATTCTAACAGTGGCTCTTCCAGGCTCAGGATACCAAGGACATTTCCATTCACTTCTAGGCCATGGATGTACGTAGAAGGCTAGGGGCCAGTGTGCCCAGTCTAAAGTCCCCTCTTCAGTGCAGGGAGCTTGAGCTTGTCTTTCTAGTCACCTGGGGAACCTTCCAAGAGTGGGCGAAGAGCTTGTGTCCTGGCCTCATCTTTGCTCCTAGGTGTAGCTGCTCCTTGCATAAATATATTCTTAACTGCCTTGTAGGGTTGTTAGTTTTAGTATGAGGACCTGGAGTATCAGTAATCAGCATTTTCTATTTGAGCGATCTAGATGCCTAAAGAAATCAAACTGGACAGCCTACTTGCCTGAGCTGCCATTCGTAATAAAGGTCAGAGATTCTTAGAGCTGGAAAGGAACCTAGAGGTCTTTGAACCAGACAATTTTTTTTTTCACACAGTGGAGGCCTGTGAAGTAAAGGGACTTGTCTAAGGCTCTGCAGCCATGCAGTGGCTGACCTGGGATGGTGCTCAGATGCCTCCACTCCCGGGCAGCACATACATTCTGTTTAAATAATGCAGTGCTTGTATAGATGTTTTGAGTCTGAATAACAAATAGTTCTCTTAGGATAAATGTGGGCCATCTTCACTGTCTTTATTGAATTGCTTTCTGAATAAATGTGTTCAACTCTGTCATGATCATTATTTTTCTCAGTGTCAACCCATGTCTGCTGCTGATTGGTCCAAGGATATTCGAACTTGCAAGATTTTAAGTGCAAAATCTCTGAATAAATGGTTGATTATATGTAGCAACAGAGCTGAAAATGTGACTGAGAACTTTCTGAGCTGCTTAAGAAGAGTTGGAATTTCTATGGGATTTAATGTGAACTACCCCAAAATGTGAGAATACACTGAAAATCATCCCAACCCCTTTAATATATTAATTTGGTTCGGTTAGAAGCTAGGAAATAAGGCCTGAGGTACCTATAAAAGCTTCTTTATCTTAGTAAAGTTTCCTAATTTGAAGTGCCAAGAAAACAGTTGTAAGTAAATACATTTTTGCTATGATTAAATTTTATACAGTTAAAATATATTTTATGTTGGTCTTTGTAAAATGTTTTTTTTTCCAGTTTTTAGGCAATAGTCTCATTATCTTGAAGTTTTTTCAGTGCTAGTTCAGGTATAAATCCATATATTACCTACTCAACTTTTTTTTCTTTAATTCTCTCATATTAATTACCTATAAGACTTAACAGCAAACAGGATATTTAAAAAAATAAAGTTGCATTTCCTGGCTCATTTCATACATTTTAGGCTTTAAAATTAAATGTAAACATAGATCTGAAATAAACTTTTTTGATTGTTACTATAGAATAAAATTAGTCATTTAGACAGTTTTCTGATTAAACCAAGGCCCTTCGTTTAGTTTTTGAACACTTATTGAGTATCTGCTGTGGGTTAGACACTGTGCCAGTTTGAAGGGATGAGAAAGACACAGAAGTTGCTTTCAGTCTAGTCAGGGGTCCACACACACACAAGCACGCTCCAAACTGAATATTGCTTTGCTTTAGGAAAGTCATGAAGTTGGTCATGCCTTGTTTACTGAGCTTGATATACTTAGTAAGGATCAATAGACACTTTTTTCCTTTGTTATGGTGGAGATGCAGATGTCCTCATTGGCAGGGTGGGAAATTATTCTTTGAACACAGGGCTGCTCATTAATTACATCAGCAGTGCACGCATTGTTGAAAACCACAGATAGCCCCAGTCTCATTTTATACCATAGTTTAGAATTCTCCTCTTAGCAAATATGTTAACAGATTGCCTGGTTCAAGTTTCACTTGCTCTAATTTCTCTTAAACTATAAACTAGTTAATAAAGCAGGAAAAGATTAATGTAAGAAGCCACGGTCAGCAGACCCTGGGCTGGCATCTTTCGCACACCAGTTCCATGAGCAAGCTTGTGTCCATCTTCTGTTCCTGCCGTTTTATTTGAAAGTCTGTATTTGATCCCATTCTTCCCTCCCACCCTCCACCCCCCATGAAGTATCCATTTACCTGTTGTATTTATATGCATAGTGATGACTTTAGAAGGAATGGACAGTAAGATAGTGGTTGCATCTGATTCAAGAGATTGAATTGGAAAAGTCACAAACATTGAGTTGTTTTAAGAGCTGTTAAGCCATTCCTACAGCTGGTTGGAATCCGCAAGTAGGAGACAGTGGTCCTGCCCCCTGGTGGGCAAGTTTTAAAAGGCCACTGGGAATCGGTCCAGGCAATCATACACACTTGAGAGAGGTTGATTCTACATGAAGAAAGTGGATTTATAAATTCCTGTGTGTGGGAATCATTCCTGTAGCCTCTGCCCCATAAATTGGTATAAGCACAGAACAGATAATTGGTAAGAACTTGCTCACTGTTTGATTGACGAAGGCTAAATATTCCAGGCTCCAAACAAGCTATCATGGAAGAAAAGAAAATCTTTTAGTCTGAATCATACAGATTCAAGAATAGCTGAACATCTTGGTCTCATTAACCTGATGATTTTTGAAACATTCATTTTAAAGTTCTTATGGAGATTTGGTATTAGAGAAATCTTAATCTTAGTTTAATTTAAATCTCATTTCAGACACTTGATATTGTGACTTGTGATTTTAAAAGTTCATTTTCAACCTCATTTTGAGCAGCAGAATTATTAATTGTAGGGATTCTGTACAATTCCAAAATTTTTATTTGCCACCAAACTATTTTAAAGCTAATATAAATGATTATTAAATTTTTCTGGCATGTCTTGTAGTGGGAGATACAATTTTAGACTCAAAAGTTAGTCACTTTTCTCTAATAATTTTTTCTCAAATTTCTAATCTGTTATAAAGATCCATTTGTATTATTTTAACTCCATATGATTATGTGCTACTTAGAGAAGAATTTTATATGTTCAAAATTACTCTTTTTATGTAGCATGAAAGTACAAGAAAATCCAGCTGCATTTCTTGGTGCCATACAGAAACATGTTGGTCCTGATGTTCAGTTGGTGAGTACAGGGTCATTTTGTGTTTTGATATATAATTTTTATTTTTCAATATATATGAGAGTATTGAAAGAATCTAAACACAGTCTCTCATGATGTGTTTATAAATTACTGTGTATTTCCCCAAGTACCCAAGAAAGTATTAATCTTTGTATTTTAATCAATATTTCATTTCTCTTTCATATTTCTAGTATTTATTTTAAAATTCTTGTGGTTACCCCCATATTAGCCTCTGGGATGTCTATGTATTTTTTCACTTATTGGGGGAGTCATCTTTCACTTAAGATTTAAGATAAATTAACTTCTATTGTATCCCTTAAATGTTGTGTCACCTGTGTTCCATGTCACCTAGGTTTTTCCATGTCACCTATGACCCCATAGTTCTGCTTCCTCTGAATTCTTGCCCTCCTGGGTGTGTTTCATCTTTTGTGAGTGCCATTTCCTCCTGTGTTGTATCACCCTGTGGGATTTCCACAATTGCCTCATTTGCCAGAGTAGGTAGGAGTGTGTGTGTGTGTGTGTGTGTGTGTGTGTGTGTGTGTGGTGTGAAGCTGACTTTGCAGAGGGTTTGGGGCCAAGGAATAATGACATCACATTTCAACATTGCAGACAAGTTAAAATGGACTTCCCTGTTCTTAAAAATATCTCACCCGTTCCTGTTTCTTGGGAGGGTGTGCTTTTCTCCGTGGTCTCAGCCTCTCACTGTAATGCAGCGCTTTTCCTGTCCTGTCTCCTCGTCTTACCTCCCTAGCTCATTCATCCCAGCTCCCAGCATTCCCACTCATATCTCATGCAAAACACTGTCGCTCTTTTAGTCAAATACACAAAAAATATGGCCCATGAGGATGTGATATTGGACAAAGGAAATTCTCACACTCTGAGCATTTATTTTTTTATTTAAAAAATAAAATCAAACTTACAGAAAAGTTGCTGGTACAAAAACTCCCATATACTCTTCACTCAGAATCCCAAATTGTTGACATTTTATCGTATTTGCTTTATCATTTTCTATGTTTCTTTCTATCAATCATTTATTGTTCTATATATTTATAGCTATTTTTTTCCAAAACTATTTGAGATTAAGTTACAGACATGATGTTCTATTACCCTTGAATACTTTAGTGCATATTCCCTGCAAATGAAGTTGCTCTTCTGAGAACCATAAAACAACCATCAACACCAAGAGACAGTATGACCAGCTGATCCACAGACTCTGAACATTCCTCCCTTTATCTCAAACATGTCCTCTCTAGTGAGAGGATCTAATGTGTTGTACTTAGTGGTCCCGTCTCTTCAGTCTCATGTGCAATCTGGAACAGTTCCATCGTTTTTCCTCGCCTTTCATGACCACCTAATTTTGAAGACTGTGGACCAGTTATGTATATAATGTCCCTCAATTTGGGTTTGTCTGATGTTTCCTTTTGATTAAATTCAGGTTATGCACTTTTGGCAGGAGTATGATTTCTTTGTTTTTACTGCATCCTACCAGGTACCCCACTGATTAAGGTGGTATTGGTCAAGTTTCCACTGTCAAGTTATTCTTTTTCTCTTTGTAATTAATTAGGGTTGGTTTGTTTTCGTAGGGAGGTACTTTGGGACTATGTGAGTATCTGTTCCTCATCAAACTTTCATACACTCATTTTAGAATCCATTGGTAGTTCTGTTTTGTTGCTGTTATAAATACATGTGTTTAAACATATGAAACACTTCACAGATTTGTGTGTCGTCCTTGCACAGAGGCCATACTGATCTCTGAATCGTCCCAGTTTCAGTACACGTGCTGCCGAAGCGAGCACTCCGTTGGTCGTTCTGGTCTGAATCCGTTAATACTCTGATGGTTGCCAGTGTTGGCGTTGTAATTCCATACTTCCTTCTACACTTATCAGGTGGCATTAGATTATAAAGAAAAGCTTCCTTTACTCTTCATTTCTTTGTTCATCTATTTATATCATTATGCATTCCTATTTACTAACTTAAAGCCCATGACTGCTATTATTTATTTTGATGCCAAGATTGTCCCTGAGTTTTCCTTTGAGAGCCCCATTCAAGCCTTTAGACATTTCCCCAATTTTCTTGGAACATGCCCTTATGGCCTGGCACAATAAGATATTTAGGTTAACCCTGAAGTTTTGCTGCCCAGCTCTGGAATCAGAAGTTTCTCTCATGAGCCCTGATTCCTCCAGATGGAGAAGAGTATTTGGAAACCAAGGTCTGGGCATTGGATGCACTCATTTGCTCCTGGAGTGTCACTGTTGCAGGCTGTCCCAGTGGGCAGATGAGGGCAAATACTTGTATGCATGTGTTTATGTGTACATACACACATACACATCATGCACAACTACACCTATTTTATTACTCTGTGCATCTATGTGTATATTAAACACATGTTCACACCTCCAGTTCCAACTCAATATCACAGGAAGGCATTCTCCCTTTCCAAACGTGTACCCCCCTCCTCTGATAGAGAGAAACTCGGCTGCTGTTATTCACCAAACATTTCCTTGCTTCTCCGACCTTGATGTGTGACAAGTCTCACTTGGCTTCCTCTTCTTTCAGCCCTGGTCCCATCGGGCTCCTGCCTTGTTCTGTCACCTAGCTTGCTTGGCCCCAAACTCACAGGATGAAAGGAAAGAAGGCTCCTAAGAGAATTTTGCTGACAACTTAAAAACACTTTTCCCCACTTCATATAATTAATTGTAAATAATTTTAGCCCTTGGGATTATGATTTTGAACAGAAATGTAGGTGAAAAAAAATCACTTCATTTGTTTTCTTTTGCTAATCACGAGAGTGCCTATCTTTTCTATAATTTAGGGGTTTTTGAAGGTAGAGAACAGGAGATAGAAAGGAGATGGAGGTAGTCCAGGGAAGATCCTTCTATGAGGGAAACCTGATAAGAAACAGGGGCAGTGACAGAAATGGGTGAAACTAAAAAATACCAGCGTATCTTAAGTTTCTTTCTCTTTATTTTCCCATTTCCCATAGCCCCATTTTCAAGTACCAGTGAACAAAAAAAAAAATGTTTTCCTTAATTTTGGTCGTTCAGTTCCTAATGGGAAACATACTACATTGTAAGCCAATTCCTCTCTGCGGGTGAAGCTGGGGGGCAGAGGGGATGAGAGCCGGAGAGCCATAGGAGAAGGGCATGGCCAAAAGGGGAGGGAGCTGGAGGATGAGCTAGGTTAGAAGGGAACTTGAGGGCACTAACAGAATCAAATCAGAGAGGGGAAGGGAAAGCCAAGGGTGATGGGTAAGGTGAGACTGGAATGGGGCTTGGTGGAGTGGATGGCTGATGAGAAGACCTTTCAAATGGCCTTAATTGTCAAAGTTTAAAGACCTGTAGGCATGTTCATTTTTGCTTCTTGAGGACTTAAGGGCAAAAGATGTTTGGAGAATCGATGTATTCAATTTTTCTTTATAAAGCTATTTCTAAGCATAAGTAAATTGACTTTTTGTTTGTTTTGTTTTTAGGTAATGTGTATTCTGCCTTCCAATCAGCAGAGCTATTACGAGTCCATTAAAAAATACTTGAGCTGCGACTGCCCTGTCCCAAGCCAGTGTGTGCGGGTTCACACCTTGAGTAAACAGGGAATGATGATGAGCATCGCCTCCAAGATCGCCATGCAGATGACCTGTAAGCTCGGAGGCGAGCTGTGGGCTGTCGAGATTCCTGTGAGGAGCCTGTCACTCTTTTCCTTTTAGTAATCCACCAATTGATTAATTCATTTTAAAAGTTAAACCAAAGTAAGCAATATTTTTGCGTGACCCCAGAAGCATTTGTTTTCCTTGTTGAGCCTCTCCTCTGAGTTTTGGCGGGGCACAAGCCACTGTGAAGTTGTGCAAGGCATGGCCCCAGCTCTCAGGGAGCTTCGGTTAAGCCGGTAACAGATATTTCACGAAAGAGAGTCTAGTTTGGCATAGACTTGGAGAAACTTGATTTGGAGCCTTCTGGCAGCTATTTAAAATCTCTCCCATGGGCTCTGCCTTTACCTGATTTCACAAGGCACTAACTGTCGGAATAGCCTTGCACCCTGGATGGGCCTCCCAGACCTCAGAGAACTGGCAGAGTCTGTGAGCTCAGCCTCCAAGTTCTGTCGGAAACTGAGAAAATTCTCTCTCTTTCTTGAACCGTTGCCAATGTGGGAGGAAGTGAGGGGGTGAGAAATAAGGAACAATTGGCTATCGCTTTATGTTTCCAGGAGCAGAGTATATGGGGGGACCCCCAGCAGCTCCCCTGGAGGTGCAGAGCCAGGTGAGGATGAGGATTCCTTAGAGCTCTGAAGAAAGAGGAATGGAATTCCTCTTCAGATTCCTTCATCCTGGAGGCAGGGGGTAAATGGACTGACCACTGTCCTAGAATCTTTTGAACCACCAATGGCCCCTGACCTTCTCCACACAGGATGGTTGCTATTTTGGACTCTAGTGAGTCTTTTAAGCAAAGTGTATATCATATTCTTCCCCTCATCTTTCGGTCTCTTTGGCTTCCAGTTTAATAATCTGCCTTACCTGGACCTTCACCTCCCTGGCACCTGCTTTACATGAATTATTAAATAAGTAGAAATATATTTTTTAAAGATTTTATTTGTTTATTTTTAGTGAGAGGGGAAGGCAAAGAGAAAGAGAGGGAGAGAAACATCAGTGTGCGGTTGCCTCTTGTGCACCTTATACCGGGAACATAGCCTGCAATCCAGGCGTGTGCCCCAACGGGGATCTGAACCAGTGACCCTTTGGTTCACAGGCCAACACTAAATTTACTGAGCTGTAATGGCCAGGGCAATATTTTTTTTTTCAATTTCATATTAACTCATTGTTTGGGGGAAATAATACCTCACCCCATTAAATCATGAAAAATTTAATTTTACAGTTAAAGTCCCTGATGGTAGTTGGCATTGATGTCTGTAAAGATGCATTCAACAAGGGGATCATGGTGGTTGGATTCGTGGCCAGTGTTAACCTCAGAATCACCAGGTAGTTTTAAAATTAGCCTAACATATTCTTCTACTATCTAGACTATTAATTGTGGTTTAATTAAAGACTATACAGCAAGGAATAGTTTGTATTCTTTACTCATTTAAGAAATAGGAATAGTTATAGTCATAAATTATACTTGCATATATAAATGTGATTGATAATATTGGGGTGATACATAGCCTCATTAAAAAAATTTTATACATACATTAGAACAAGCTATTGCTCATATACCAGTCATATTCCTAAAATGATGGCTTTGTAGAAATTCTTGCGCATTTATTTTCTAACTTCTGCACTCTCTTAGGCATTGTACTAGAAACTTTACATGGATTATGTCCAGCAGTTAAGAATCAGATTGCCTGGACTTGTATCCTAATCTGCCTCTTATTCCATTTAAATGTTCAGTACATGCTTGTGACTATTTTATCATTCTTAATGCTCACAGACATTTGATACGGTGGTTGTTCACACAGCTATTAGAAACATAGGCAAGATTAGGGCCAATGTTAAATATGAACTCAGAGTTCTTATTAAATTATAGTTCTTAGAATTGTTTCGATATTTGTCACTATTCCATGTTTTGAGGTTGAAGGAGCTGTTGGCAAAATTTCTTCTTCCTAGACTTAAGCTGTTGGATTTGCTCCATTAAATTTGTGGTTGGGTATGTATTTGGGAATGTGGGAAACAGGAAAAACAGCGGAGTGACTCTGACTTCATTCCAGGCTGAAAGAGATCCCTGTTGTGTGTGTCACTTCCCTAACCAGGCAGATAAAGACCATCCAGCTGGTTAGCAGCATGCTGACTGCATCATTACTGTTGCATGTATGCGGAGAACTACAGCAGTGTCAATAGCATGCTTATTTCTGTCATGATCTTCATTTTCTGAGTGCTTTAAATTAATTAATGACTTTAGCAAGAAGGCTTATGTCTGAAATCTAAACAAGGTAATCATGTTAAGATTGAAAGCCTAAGGGGCTTTCTAATAGAAGTGGAAGTTTGTGCTTGAGAAATCTTTGACTATTTTGAAAGTAGAAGACCTGCTAAACTAATAAATTCCTTTATAATCATAGCATAGAGGCCTCTATTGCTTATTATGTGTCAAGTACTATGCTAAACAATATAAATATAATTTAATTTTTACAACAATAGCATGAGGTGGAAACTGTCATACCATCTTGTGAATTTCCTTGTTACCAGTAGGAAACAGAAGTTTAGGTTTACATAGTAAAGTCAGGGGTTGATGAGTGTACCAGCCAGGATTTGAACCCACATGTGTCTGATGTCAGCACATCACTTTAGTTTCTCTTTTTGATAAATTTCATTTTGGAGGAGGGTGAGTTTTTAATATAATTGTGATCCTATAGCATATACAAAATTATGAGCAACATTGATTTTTACTCATAATATGTTTCTTAGTTTAACCCTGATGCATGTGTATAGTAGATATTTTGAAGTTGAACTTTACTTATGTTCTTTGCTTCCCTTAGGTGGTTTTCCCGCTGTATCCTTCAGAGAACAACCACTGACATTGCAGATTGCTTAAAAGTTTTCATGACCGGTAATAAAACCATAGCAGAAGTGGTGGGCTGCAAGACGATTCCTTCAGATCCGAGGTCCACATGTCTGTAGGAGACCAGATAGGAGGAAGCAGCCTCCCCAAACCTGCCTGAGTCAGCTGGCAGCCTGTTGGAGATCCCCAGGGCTGTGTCCTGTCATAGGCTAACAGTCAGACTGCAGAATTTACATTGCCACCTGCCTGTATAAACAGAAAGCCAGGAGGAGGGAGAGTTTGTAAATACCAGTGGCTCTGCCAAATAGTTGCAAGGCCAGAAGAAACCTACCCTACAGGAACAAGGATTGCAACAGAGCAGTGTTAGGTCTAGAAATAGCAGAGAAGCCTTTGGGGATGTCTGCGGGTAAAGTATGGAACAGCCTGAGAAGATGGGGAAGACAGCAGCAAGGAAGGGTGTGATGCAGCCGAAAGAGGGACCTGGCCCAAATCTGGCTTTGTAACTCCTTCACAGCCTGCTTAAGGTTCCCAACCCCTCCCCTGAGCTGTGTTTTCTGGTCTTTAAATTTTGGGGGGCAGGGTGGGTGGGTAAGGGGTTGTAAAGATTTTTTTTCCTAAAAAAGCAGATTTGGTGATATGTGTTGGTTACATACATGATCTTCTATCAAACTAAAATGAATTTCCTGAACAATAAACTAATGCAATTGTATATATAATATATATACACAAAATCATTACATCTTTATTACATTATTTTATTACTTTCTCCTCACTTCAAAACCTGGTAATTTTTTTTTAGTGGTCATGTAAAGTTTCTGTTGGGTAGGAGTCACTGTCCAGTCCCTGCTCTTTTGGTGATTTCTAGTAGAGTGGGTGGAAAGGTTTTTAAAGCCATGTTGTCAGGGAGACGTGGAATCTACTTGGGTGAGTCCGTGTGAAGAGATGCCTTCAGAGGGATCTCCACGTTCTTTCCTATGTGTTCATGTTTGTGCTCATTAGAGAAGGAAATAACCTAAGATTACTCAGTCTCTTTTTATTGAGAGGATTTAAAGACTTAAAGAAATTGCATTAGTATCACTTTGCTTTTGGGAATCTGTATGTCTATTGTATGAATTAAAATTTAATTTATTGCTTAACTATTAGAATTATACTGAAGTGATGTGCTACATTTAAGAATCTGTTATGGCATAGAAACCATTATGATTCCTCAAATAGCAAAGATGCAGGAATGTTCCCTAAATTTACCTGTTTTTATGTTATTGCAAATACAACCCAAATTAGGTATCACCCTATTTCACAGTGTCTGAAATAGCAAGCTTATTTAAACATTGATATTTAATGGGAATTTTATGCTTTGCTGGCATCAGACAAGTCATTTTCTTCTCACACCAAATTCTGCAGGAGCACTCAACAAATGGTACAAGTACAATCAGGATTTGCCAGCCCGGATTGTTGTGTACCGTGATGGTGTGGGGAATGGTCAACTAAAAACACTTATCGAATACGAAGTACCACAGCTGCTGAGCAGTGTGACAGAAGCAAGGTCAAGTACAAGGTATTAAATTGCTGTTTTTCACAGTTAGAGCACATTCATCATTCTCTAGTAGAATTACTATATGGCAGCATGTCTTTTTTTATGCAGTTAAATTTATCTGTCTCTGCATCTGGATGAATTGATTTCCCCTAGGCTGGAGGGTATTCAGGATGGTTTGATGTGAATAGCCTGGGTGGTGTGAGCTTTGGGGCTCTGGGGTGGTGGCACCTGGAAGAAGGCAGGTGACCTCCTCCAGACAGAGCAGCTGTCACTGAGATTCAGCCGAAGGCCTGCAGGGCCACTGGCTGGTAAAGACACTTCCTACGCACAAAAATGCCATGGGGAAAAGATAAGCTATGGTTTCAAATTCAAGGCCCAAATCCACACACAGGGCTGAGCTTTTACAGTGCAGGCACTGCTGCGCAGCTAAGGCCTATGGCAGGTGCTGAGAGGCCTGTGAGTGCTGTGAGCGCTGAGGTACATCTGGAAATCAGCCCGTCCTAAACACCGGACACCCTGCTCCACTGTCACATTTCTAGACTCCCTGTTTCATACAGCATTTTCAGAACAATATTGCTTATGTCAAGTGGCAAGTGTGAGAAAATTATTAGAACTGGAAAATGGAGGAGGATGGTAATCTTAAAATATTCAGAAAGCATCTTCTTCCAAGCCATGCATAGTGCTCCACCTGTAGGGTTACACCACCGTCACCCCCATCGGCCAAGTGTCGCAGCCAAGAGCCACAAAGGATCAAAGTCTGGACCTCATCAGTGACTCTTAGGCGGGAGAACATAATAGCTCGGGGACAGCATGACCTTCAGCTGCATCCAAACTGTCAGAGCCAAAATCTCTTGCTCCTCACTGACCTCAGGTGAATTCAGAATCACAAGATGCCATTTGGGGATAGCCGACAGTGCCAAGGAGTTCGTTTTCTTGCACTGTGACATCAACTTGTGAGCCTCAGTACCAGAAACATGACCAATTTCATTGAAATTTAATCCAGAGATCACCATGAAATTTCACAGTGGTCCCTGCATCCCAGAAGTGCCTTCTGTGATGACCAATATTTGGATTTGGCCTTGGCTTTACCAAACACTGACTGTAACACTCCTCATTCAGCATTTGGCCCAAGTGTGTCCTTGGCCCGCCCATCCATCTTTTCAGGAGTGTGTTCAGGAGTGCCGGTTCGAGGAGCCAGAGGGACTTGTGGCTGTCCCTTTGCTATTCAGACACTGAGAGGAAGACTGGAGGTGAAAATTAGGGGGACAATTGCTAATGGAAAAAAAATTCTTGTCTCTAAAGGTAATTCTGGAAAATCTTTTTTAGAAGTGCTAATTGAAGTTGATTGCCCTATCAACCATTCCTCCCTGTCCCCTTTAAATGATATAAACTAGCCAGTGACTGGACCTACCACATTTTTGCAGCAAATAAGGACAATCCCTAATTTAAAAATTGTATAATATGTGTCTCTGGGAGAGGAGAGATTGGGGTGGGGGTTTTTTTGTTTCTTTTTGCAGTGCTCTTCTAATGAATTTATTAATTCATGTATCTCTTCAAAATTACCAAATAAGAGAAACAGAGGGCTGTGTGGCTTGGTTTTAGTTCTCTTTGTCTTATTGTTCTGTCTTTCTGGTTCTAAGCTCCAAACTGTCGGTAATCGTGGTCAGGAAGAAGTGCATGCCACGATTCTTTGTGGAAAGGAACCACACCTTACAGAACCCGCCACTTGGCACTGTGGTGGATTCCGAAGCCACGCGTCCTGAATGGCAAGTGCTCTTAGAAAACCCATTTTTAACAAAACATTTGCTGTGTCTTGCTCAAGTTTGGCCTTATTTTGTTTGCCTTCTTTCTCACTTTCATTTCATTTTCCCCTCAGGTATGACTTTTACTTGGTCAGCCAGGCTGCCTGTCGGGGAACTGTGAATCCTACTTACTATAATGTCATCTACGATGACAATGGCTTGAAGCCTGACCACATGCAGAGGCTTACATTCAAGCTATGCCACTTGTACTTCAACTGGCCGGTGAGTTACAGCTGTTACTAATACTTGAGTACCAATACTCAAGCTTCCCACCCAGGAATTATTACCTAGTTTACCTTTCTATCCCTACACCTGGCACAATGCCAGACTTTCACAAACGAGGAATGAATGAATGAATGACTGCTGAGTCCATAGTGGAGGAAACCCAGTCTGTCATAGAAATGAAATAGAAATAACTTAATACATTAGTACTTATAATTTCCAGAGGACTTTATTATATACTTTCATTATCTTATGCAAACCTCTGAGGAAATGAGGGTGTTGTTATTTCCATGTTTCAGATGAGGAAGTTGAAACAAGCTCAGAGGTCTGGTGGGAAAGTAGTAGGCCTGGCCCTCTTCTGTGTGCCTGTGCATGAGGCCAAGGGCTGCTCTCAGAATCCAAGGCCAAGATTCGTTCAGAAGCCCTTGGAACATAAAACGGAAGAATCATAGATTAGCCCTAAGTGTGGTAGCCCCCAGCTCCCAGCACCAGGAAGCCAGCTGGGCCTCCACCCCATTCCACCCAGTGAGCACAAGTTCCCAGTGAGCTGGGTGCCCTCTGTTGTTGGAGTCTAGTTATTGTTTCTTCACAAACATATTCTATCTCATATGTAACTAGCAGAGGAAAGAATCTGAGGGGAAAAAATCACTTCGAAGAACAAATTATCCTCTTAATTACCACCCATATGTTTTCTTCTCAGGGTTTAATCAGTGTCCCAGCACCGTGTCAGTATGCACACAAGCTGACCTTCCTCGTGGCACAAAGCATTCACAAAGAACCAAGTTTGGAATTAGCCAATTCTCTCTTCTACCTTTGATGACACAAACTCTCACTCTCAGCCTTGCTGGACGAGGAATCCCAGGAGCAGCGGGTATACAGAACTTCTGTGAGCTTGCAGCTGTGACTGAGGAAAGGAAATTGCACTTAGTTTTAACTTCTAGGAAAAACAAAACAATTTAATCTGAAACGGTTCAAAAGAAATGTATGTTGTTTTATTTTAAAGTTATATGCTTGGAGTAAATTCTCACTGTGCTATATGGAATTAAAATGTACCATCACCTGTTAGTAATTCCACAAAGCTAAATACCTTCTAAGAAGTGTTTGCATGGTGTATGCAGAAGTGTTTTGATGGATAGGTACATGGGGTCTAATTTCCATCCCAAATGTTTAAGTTTTTTTTTAATAGTGTTATAGAGCATTTTGCAGAGTTTAGTTATTAGAAAATAAAGAAAATTTAGAGCATCACATATTGTTTATTTTTATTTGAATTTTAGCTGAAGTTACATGTGAACCTCATTATTTATAAATGTTTTCAGAAAAGATTCTTACCCACTAGACCTCATCACCATCCTTTTTCTATACTCCTGAAACTGAATACATCACTTGCTCACTCGACGGTACGTTACTTCACTTCATACAGCTGCTCTCGTTGATTGATGACCTTGCTGCCTGCTGCCCTGAGAAAACACCCCATCTGGGCAGGACTTGCACCGGTGGGCTCCCCTTCCATCCACCCCCAGAGGTCGTCTGTGTGCGCAGGCGCTGCCCCGCCCCTTGTTCTCCTAGTAAGCCCTGCCTCTGCTCTGAGAGCTCTCCACTTGTGCGCCCACTCCCGGTCCCCACCCCCGCAACCACGGCCCCCAAGGACCCCAGTCTAGCTAGCACTTCTTCCCTCCCTCTCTGCATCATCAGCCTCCCCCTCATACTTGATCATTCCCACTAGCATGATAGTGTGCTGCTCTTTTTTCCATTTAATGAATAAACTATTTCTCCAGTTCTTCGCTTCTCTTTATAGAACTTCTCAAAAGAGTAGTCTATGCTTGATGAATCAAATGCCTTACTCCAGTGAGAGTTTCACGACCACCACATCGAGCCCAGCCACCACACTGGTGACCACTAGGTCACCAATGACGCCAGCTTTGTGGAATTTGATCTTGCTCAGCCTCTCACAGCATTTGGCCCAACTGACCGTTGCCTGTTGCCTTCATCTGGAGACACTCTGTGTCGAGGGTAACGCACTCCCGGTTTCTCTCCCGCTGCATTTGTTGCACATTCTCAGTCTCCTCTGCTGGTTCCTCCTCACCCCCTCATCCTTTTCACACGAGATTCCCCAGGAATGAGGATATGGCTACATGTAAAATCTATTTTGATGAAGGAAATCAGAGTTCTAGATTCTCTTCACAGGGAGAGATTACATGGAAGGCTACAGTGAAGGGGAGTGTGGGGAGCCGAAGGTTCTCTCTGAGGGGTGAGGAGAAGCAGACCCCAATACGGAAATAATATAAGGTGGCACTGAAAATATTCTTGTCTCATTTGAGAGTTTTTTCAAGACCTGGTAACATGGTCCATTTCAGTAATAATAGTGATAACCATTTGTGGACGTGAGGAGGGGGGTAGGGGAAGGGTTAAAACGTTCCAGGCAGAGTGCCGAGCCCTTTACATTCACATTTAATCTTCACAACAAGTGTATGAATTAGGGCTAGAATGACCATTTTACTGATAAAACTCAGGATTAAAGATGCTATGTAGCTTACCAAAGTTTATAAGATTAGTACATTGTGGAGTTAGAATTTTTCCTTGGGTGTGTTTGACTCTAAAACCTGTGAGATGAACCACAAGACTCTACTGCCTTAATAAAAGGTATGGTAAGATTTTAAACTTTTCTCCCTGGGTTCTTAGGCGAGGGAATGCCTCATACAGTTTAAAGCTGGCAAGTGGAGGCAAGGCGCTGCACCAGTCCATAGTGGTTGTGTTCCTGTGTTGATGAGGTGGTTTTCTCCTTCCAAGTACGAGGATGCTGTAAAGCGCCACCACTTAACAGCCGGCTTAAATAAATCTACACGCAGCGTTTGGATTGATCAATACAGTAGTCTAGAGAGCTTTTTACCCTTCATTAAGTTTTGCCCAAGATAGTACTCCCTTGCCATTTTAGTCCACCAGGGGGCAGATGAGGACTGTCTGCCAGCAGAGCCCTTCCCCTCCACAGGTGTGGTGCAGCAGCTAGTGGCAGAACAGTCCCTGTCAATTAAGCTCCCAGAGGGCAACGTGGGATTAGGAAACGCTTCATTTCAGCTCCGGTTCAGCTGTGGGATTCTCTCTCTGGAACTCAGTTACCCAATCTGTTGTATGAGAAGGGGTTGGAATGGACATTTAAAAACTTAAAAAAAAAATACACCAGATGCTGGGTCCACCTCCAGGAATAGTGACCTAATTCTAAAATGAAGCTAGGTGATTCTGAAGGTTAGCCAGCGTTGAGGACTACTGGTCTAGGGCAGGACTGGATTTGAATCTCAGAAAAACCACCTACTAGCTAGCTGTACATGACCTTGGGCAGTTACTGAACTTCTCTGAGCCAGTTTACCTGTAAAGACACTTAACTATGTCCACGTAGTAGGGTTATTGTAGGATTAGAAATACCAAATCTAAACTATCTGGCTTTAATAGTGATATATTATTACACCTCACAAAAGGAAAAGAATCAAATGCCATAATTTATTTTATTTTTAATATGTTTTATTGATTATGCTATTACAGTTGTCCCAGTTTTTTTCTCCTCTTTATTCTGTTCTGCCCTGTAACCACACCCCTCCCACCAGCATTCCCCCACCTTAGTTCGTGTCCGTGGGTGATACATATAAGTTCTTTGGCTTCTCCATTTCCTATGCTATTCTTAACCTCGTCCTGTGTATTTTGTACCTACTAATTATGCTTCTCATTCCCTGTACCTTTTTCCCCATTCTCCTGACTCCCCCTCCGTGCTGATAACCCTCCATGTGATCTCCATTTCTGTGAATCTGTTCCTGTTCTAGTTGTTTGCTTACTTCATTTTTGGTTTTGGTTTTGGTTTTCTTAGGTTCATTTGTTGATAGTTGTGAGTTTGTTGTCATTTTACTGTTCATATTTTTTATCTTTTTCTTAGATAAGTCCCTTTAACATTTCATATAATAAGGGCTACATGATGATGAACTTTAACTTGACCTTATCTGGGAAGCACTCTATCTGCCCTTCCATTCTAAATGATAGCTTTGCTGGATAGAGTAATCTTGGATGTAGGTGTCTGCCTTTCATGACTTCAAATACTTCATTCTAGCCCCTTCTTGCCTGCAAGGTTTCTTTTGAGAAATTAGCTGATAGTCTTATGGGGACTCCTTTGAAGGTAACTGTCTCCTTTTCTCTTGCTGCTTTTAAGATTCTCTCTTTATGTTTCACCTTGGGTAATGTAATTATGATGTATCTTGGTGTATGCTTCCTTGGGTCCAACTTCTTTGGGACTCTGTCAGCTTCCTGGACTTCCTGAAAGTCCTTTGCCAAATTAGGGAAGACCTCCTTCATTATTTTTTCAAATAACTTTTCAATTTCTTGCTCTTCCTCTTCTCCTTCTGGCACCCCTATGATTTAGATATTGGAACATTTAAAGATGTCCCAAAGGTTCCTAAGCCTCTCCTTATTTTTTTGAATTCTTGTTTCTTCATTCTGTTCTGCTTGTTTAGTTCTTCTTTCTGCCTCAGACCATTGATTTGAGTCCTGGTTTCCTTCCCTCCACTGTTGGTTCCTTTATTTCACTTTGCATAGCCTTTACTCTTTCTTCTATTTTGCGACCATACTCAACCATTTCTGTGAGCATCCTGATTACCAGTGTTTTGAATTCTGCATCTGATAAGTTGGCTAGCTCTTCATCGCTTAGTTGTATTTTTTCTGGAGTTTTGATCTGTTCTTTCATTTGGGCCATATTTTTTTTTAATCTCAGAGCACCTGTTACATTGTATGGGGCAGAGCCTTGGGTATTCACCAGGACAGGGCAACCCACATTGCTGCATTGTGGTGCTGTATGTGGGGGAGGGGTCTGAGAGGGAACAATGTGCTTACTCAGCTCTTGGCAGGCTTTCAGTCACTTCCCCTGCTACCCACAATCAAATTGGGCCCTTCTGGTGCTGATTCCTGAGTTGGTGGGCTTGTATGTGTTCAAGGACCCTGTGGGTTTCTCCAGTAAACTCTCCTGTGAGGTTGGGAGTTTCTCCCAACACTTCAACCCCCACAGGTTTTATAGTCAGAGGTTATGAGGCTATCTCCCCTGCACTGGAAACCTGGATTGTATCACCTATTTTGCTCCCCAGTTGTTCCTCCCACTTTATCCACTCGCAAATGTGGGACTGCCCACTCTGCCAGCCACTGCCTTGCCCAGTCTTCCAGAAGCCACATCACCTGTCCCAGTCCTCCAACTGCCACCTTGCCAGGAGTCCTCTCTGCCCTGGCTGCCTATCTCTGCCCCTCCTAGTGGTCTGAATGAATGTTTCTTCTTTAACTCCTTAGTTGTCAGACTTCCATATGGTCTGATTTTCTGTCAGTTCTGGTTGTTTTTAAATTTGTTGTTGTCCTTCTTTTGATTACACAAGGAGGCACAGTGTATCTACCTATGCCTCCATGTTGGCCAGAAGTCTCAAATGCCATATTTTAGTCAGCAAATACTCATGGGTGCATATGCAACACTAGGCACTGTGCTAGGTTCTGAATTCTTCCATAATCCTGCTTTAAGGAAAGCTTAATGTTTTCTCTAGATATAACTAATCTATTGCTTGCTGTTTTATGGAGGAGGTTTTGCTTTTGCTTTTATTTTAGGGGGTAAGATGGAGATTCTGAAAGGCTATGCACCAACTTTGAGCTGCTGACAACTTCTCGGTATGAACAGTGACACAGCGAGAGAGAGCATTCAGAGGCAGCAAAAGTGTGCTCAAGCCCTAATCTCATTAGGAAGGAGGTTAGGGGTATTAACCTGACATTTCACTAGAAGATAAAGTTAAAATGCATCTGGGTATTTTCTAAAAAATCATAAAAATTCCATTCATTATTCTGGATTAGTGGAAAGAAAGAAAACAGGATAAAAGTTACCATCAATTCAATTGAGGACAAGGAAAGAGGAGACTACAGAGAAAAGAACATGGTAACTGCAAACACCAAACCAGATGGGACAAATATACTAAAAAATATAATCAATTAAAGAAAAAAATTATTTCACTTATTACTGAAGACCGAGAGATTGCCTAAAAGGCACATCTGACATGAAACAACATAAAAAGTTTTAAAATAAAACAATAGGAAAAGATATACTTTGAATTGATAGTAAACATAAAGCTGGAATAGCAATATTGATATCAAAAACAGAATTTAGGGCTAACAGTAGGGCTATTACACATTTATAAAGGTAGCAAGATAAAAAGTGCAAGATGATATTATAATCATA